AAGCCAGATCCAGTGGAGTTCATGGGAGCTATAGGCCAATGCTGATTTCTGTTCAACAGTTTTATTTATCGAGTCGTAACTCCCAGTCTATAAGAAACCGTAGGTGCAGCGGGGAAGAGGAGAGAGTTGATTTCCTGAAAGAGAGCGGCACTGTTGCGTTCTCCCCCTGCAGCTGAGCGAGAAATCGTGCGCGACATCAAGGAGAAGCTGTGCTACGTGGCGCTGGACTTCGAGAACGAGATGGCCACCGCCGCTTCCTCCTCCTCCCTGGAGAAGAGCTACGAGCTCCCTGATGGCCAGGTCATCACCATTGGCAACGAGAGGTTCCGCTGCCCCGAGACCCTCTTCCAGCCTTCATTCATCGGTATGTCCATCTGGGCCACTTCACCGTTCCGGAGCAGATTAAAGCATGCTGTCGGCATGCGGGCCACTGCCCACACATACCTAGACTCGTGTCTCTATTCTACACTTCACCCTTCTATTTACAGGACTATTCAGAACCGCACCTTGGCCGAGGCAAAATAGGCGACTGCCTAGGGCCCCGAGGCCACCAGGGGGCCGCCTCAATATGGAATACAACATATTTAATCAGCACCCTCAAATGCGAGCCAAGAAATTCACCCCGGTGGCTCTATCTGTTGTTTGTATGCTAATCGAAGTGGTTTGTTAGGTATAAATGATAATACAGTATTGTTAGTTGTGAATTAAGTGCAGTAGTTTATTTCACTGTCAGGGTAATAACTCGCTCTCATCTTCTCCGTAAGATGACAATATCAGTGTGGTTTCAGCAGCTGCTACACCGAATGCTACATGGTGAAAAAGCTCAGGGTGGGGGCTGATAATCGTAGTGTATGCGCAAATTGTGATCTGGAGTGGTTCATTTCCAAGATCTTCCCTAGGGAAAGCTAGGACCAGTTCTGGGTTCATTACATGTATCCTTTTCATTATATATTCATTGTGTTAACTGAACGTGTCACTGAGGCGTGTTTCTCTATTGTAAACACTAGGTATGGAATCTGCCGGTATTCATGAAACTACCTACAACAGCATCATGAAGTGTGACATTGACATCCGCAAGGATCTGTACGCCAACAATGTGCTGTCTGGAGGCACCACCATGTACCCTGGTATTGCTGACAGGATGCAGAAGGAAATCACAGCACTGGCGCCCAGTACAATGAAAATCAAGGTGTGTGTGGAAAACATACTTTGGATATCTGGGATAGAGGGCAAACCGTATTAAACACAGCACCGGCAGATAATTCAGGGGGAATTACACCACTGTAGAAACTCAATTCAGCCAATGTAACTGACAATCCAAGCCAGTGTGCATAATAACCTACTGCAAGATAAAAGAAGACTATTGAAGAAGTTTGTCTGTTGATCATTTTTTACACAATGGCAAAACTTTATATGTTACCCAATGGTTATAAAATATATAGTCACATTCTTATTTCCAGCACTTACCATAAGTGTTTCTGACTGAAAGCAGAACAGTGTTCTGGTCCTGGGAAACCAGACAAGCACAGTGAGGAGCAAAAATGGTGTTCAAAACAGGATGTATAATAACTTTGATTATTGTTTTATTTGGCACAGGGTGATATAGGATGTGGAATACAAATGGACTTTATATACTGTATAAAGTACTGTATCAGATCCTCAAGTAAAGGATTTAAAGAGTTACAGAGATCACAGTTAAAAACAAATGAGAGCAGAAAAGGTCAGGGATGGTTTTATGTAATTAAATAACAACACGTACTAGTTTGTACAGTGTGCAGTAGAGATTTTCTTCTTCTGAAAGACTGAACAATTCCTATTTTTACGTGATATGGTATATTAAAACAAGAAAAACAAACGATGAGCTCTCAACAATCACAGAAAACTGAGCACGTAATGACTTTGTGCATCATCAAGTGCGTAATTGTAGGATTGTACAAGTTTGCCAACAGTATCCCAGAGATGTTTTTTTTTACTGAATCTCTCAAATGATTTTTTTTTTACAGTCATAATGGTCGTGTAGAAATCTCATCCTTACCCAAACCTTCTCGTGTTTTTTAACAGATCATTGCCCCGCCTGAGCGCAAGTACTCAGTCTGGATTGGTGGCTCAATTCTGGCTTCCCTCTCCACCTTCCAGCAAATGTGGATCAGCAAGCAGGAGTACGACGAGGCTGGTCCTTCCATTGTCCACCGCAAATGTTTCTAAACTTCTTGTGCTTTTTTTTTACAGTCTCTATATTCTACCTGTGAACTGTGAATGTACTTTCTTCCCCTTTCATTCCAGCAACTTGTCTTTGCACTGCTACTACTGAGTGAATGTTTAAAAGATTTTTTTGGTCTTTTGAATGAATAAAGCTTGAATGTGCTGGCAATATTAAAACAGTTCTAGCGTTTTTGTAACGCGGACGAAATGCCTAATAAAGAATTTAAGAACCTCACGCTTCTACTCCAGCAGAAACAAAAAACAAACAGCTGATGATCTGTCTCCCTCTTGTGTACAAACACTGTATTGCAAACTAGCGCCTACCTACTGTGACAAATAAAAATGGCTCATGTGCTTCATCTTGTGTCCAACCTTTCCAAAATATTACTGCGTTTAACAAATATTGTCATTCTCATTACCACTGTACATTATACTACAACTACAGTGCGGAAATATGGTACAACTATATTTAAAAAAAAACATTTAGCTTTTTTGTCAAAAATGGTGTTTTCCATAAAGCAAAAAATACACTGTTGTGTAATAAGTGACTACGAAATTAGTAAATTAAGCATTCCTCCACTTTTAATCCAGAATAATAAAAATACAAACATGGATCTAGAATACTTTTGCAGAAATACATTTCCATTGTTCACTCGATTTCAGTTAAGTACCAGACTGGTGTCCTCTCGTTTTGCAAACGGACTTGTTTTTTAGTGCTCTTTTTTTGGAAAAGTATTTACAGTGTGGTGTTTAAACTGGGGCTCACGAGAATAAAGAAATTTGCACAAACAGTGGATTTTTCTCTTTAACAGCAGAGAACAGAAGGTCCTTTATTAAAGATTTTTCACATGATTATTTATCCAAGTTCACTAGAAAAGAAGCACTCCTGCAGTGTTCTCACACTCGATTTCCTGGCCGCCGTTGCTGTGCAAAATATGCAATATAAGGCCTAATGAAAAATGAATGCCAGGGTCTGTGTGTATACAAATTCTTGACAGTTGCTCTGGTACTTTGAAAAGTTCATACCAATAACAGCTTTTATCACTACTCTTGTTTTTCGTGCTTTTACTACGAAATGAAATACACTACTTTTCTGATTTGTTTTTTTGTGCTTGGATTTTTAGCTCCGGTATTCATAACTGGCTCCTTGCTCATACCAGTCCTCAACTGTGCATGTTACTGGGCACTTTAGTTGTAACCAACACGGGGGATAACATGGGTAAATTAAGTCACCAACTGGTTGAAATAAGTAACTAGGAACTCACCTGGAGAAATAAAAAAAGAAAAACAAAACATACTGTAGTACACCTCAGGCATCATGGTGGACAACTACTATCACATACTGCCCTGAAGTTCAATACTCCTTATTCCTTCTTGAAGACGGTGGCATTTAATAGAAACTGTTTATATTTCTCCTGCTAGTCTATGACTTTGTTCCACCCCCACTGCGTCCCTCCCTGTGAGCATTTTCTAAAAAAAAAACATCTTCATAATACGTCGGTCTATTTACAAGAAACTTAAAACCCATGCGCAAAAACCTCGCCCTGCAAATGACCTGAAATACTTTCTTGTGCCTTAGACTTGCCCAAGGCGTTACAGCTTCATTGCAAAATGTATTGCTGAATTCCAAACTCTCAGTCTGAATGAATATTGAATGAATGAGTAATGCATACATAGCGTAGTAAATCAGGTGGGAAGCCGCGTCAGCATGCGTTGGCTGCAGAGGAACTAGTAATAGGTTTATTCCAGGCTGAAAAGAGAAGAAAGAAAATTCTCTTCTTGGCATCTTCACGCCCGAAGAAGGCTCCACAGCCGAAGCGTTGTGTTTTTCTTTCTTCTCTTTTCAGCCTGGAACAAACCTCTTACTTGTTCCAGTGTAGTAAATATTTACTGTACTGTATAAGAACTAGAGCCATTATGGTTTGGTAGAATGTGTTCCAGAATACTTAATTTATTTTATTCTGTTTAACCACAGATTCTCCTTAGCACACAGAGTTGGGTACTGTATGTGGCAAACTGCTATGTAATAAAAGAGTATGAAGTCCCATTTTACTACACACATAAAAACGCAATGAGACAAAGTGTAAGTTCTTTTTTATTATTAAAACGGCAGTAGAAGAGGATACTGTGGTTGGTATGTATGGATACTTGTGTACTTTGTTAATACCATCTCTGTCTTTAACGTTTGCTATCACACCAATCCACAGCTATGCAATTAGAAACTGTGCCACTGGACAAGATTCACTGTCACTGTACTTGCAGCTTTAGTCCAACAACACATTTTACAATAAAAAGGAATAAAACGGAGAAGCAAGAGCACTTGTGTTAATTGTAAAGAGCTCTGAGCAGCAAAGACAGCACATTTTTCGTAATGACAGTAGATCCCAACATCACATTTCTGCAATGCCTCAAAAATTACAGAGGAGGTTAAAAATCAAAGCACTGGGAAGAAAGTTGTAACAAGAGTGTCAAGGAGGAAAGAACCACATTTCTCACAATGTGAAATGATGTTTGTGATACCTGAGTCTTGTGCTGTCATCATCATAGAACTCTGCCCTGACACAATGTCAACAGCAACAACTCCCTCCTAATATAAGGCTTTGCGTGTTCATTGTTTTGCTTGTTACATTCTATACAATTTGGTTTTGAAATAAAAAAGGCAATTTAATACACTATTTGACACCTTGTTTTCCAGTATCTCACTATCAGGAAAATGCCCATGCTTTTTATCATCCTCAAGCATTGCTTTCTTAGGCTAGTCTTTCATGCTTTCTTATTACAGTGCATTTAAAACACAAGAATGTAACCTGCTTTTTGGTCAGTTAAAGATTTACTTACACCTTTAAGAAAAAATATATAATTGAAGAAAATATTAAAAGCATCTAGTTCCCAAAATACACAAAACAAATCTTAAAATAAATTTAATATGTTAATAAGCATTTAATATTCTTGATAGTTAGCTCCTAAAGACCACATCTAGATTATTTTAGGGAACAAATAAAATTTCCTAAATGGAATTAAAGACAGAACTCTACTTCTGAATTGAAATTCTACTTTGCTATAAGAATGTAGTTGGCTAAAACAGATTCTAATATCTTGTACATGCAGGAAGTATAGTTATCTTTGTAACTGAACAAGAAAGCACTGTATATGCTGTCTGCAAAATAGTATGTCCCTTAATCCTGTTCTGAGTCTACGATCTTTGTATTTTACCCTTTGCTCGTAAAATATTTTTTCAAGCATTACAACCTAGTATTGTATCACCATACCAGCAAAACTATAATAGGTCTAATTTTCCCTAAGTACAAACTTACCCCCATGGTAAGTTAATTAGACAGGAAATTAGTTCATGGTTTGCATGTAGGGCAAACTGAGCCCACTGGCAATTAATTAATCTTAAAGAATGCAAAAGTAGCCCAGGTACACAACACACATTCTATGTCCATTGCCTTTTCATTTTGTTTATAACATGTACCTCAGGGAAATTCAAGTTGAAGATTTTAGAGTTTAAATTTTAGGAAATGAGGCATATGGCTTTAGAAGTCTAATAGTCTCAGACAGTTATCATTTCAAACCTGGCTCTGCAGCGATGTGAATTCAGAGTGCAAGCCACTGAAACAATAGCAAAATAAAATAAACTCACCAGCATTTGTCATAGCTTCACAATGAATGTTCACACCAGTCTGCAAAACGATATCAATTCACAGTACCTTTAAAAAAAATAAATAAATACAAAAGCCTTCATGTAAACAAAGATATAAATATAAAACTTTAAACTCCAGCTTTCTGAATTGCCAGAATGGTTGCCACATAGAGAATGGCTCCTGGTGAGGTTCGTCCTCATTGTCACCTCAGGTCCAGCACAGTTGTTTTCATGTCTTTCACAACAACATGGTTACAGACCTGGAAATAATGACAGGAAGTGTCAGTCCTCACAGAAACAGATGACCAGTACTTCCTGATAGCTGATTAACCCCTGTAGATGCCATATAAAATCACAACTAAATTCAGAATATTTTGCATTCCATTACACCTTCACTGAAGAAGTTATGTTGGACACTTACATTAAACAATGGGGGATCCTTGGAGTGTGGGTGGAATCCTTTCATTTTACATCCTGCTACCTCCCCCATTCCTGTGCTTGTCAGTCTGAACACCCCAGTGCTAAATGCAACAAAAAACAAGACACACATTCACAAAAAGGTTGAAAGTGAAAATAAAAATTCCTTTTAAATGCATTTCTACCTGGTGATTATGCACTTCTATGTGGTTGGCATATATCATAAAATTTCCAGACGCTTGCTTTCATAGACTTGAAATAGCTGCTACAGAATTCAGGCTCACACAGTTCAGCAGCACATTACACCCACTGAGCCAGTTCCTGGCATTGTGCTAATGCTTTATAAATGTAGCGCAACATTATTTTACATCATAACGCTCCTCTGATTTTTGCAAAATGGTATATTAACAAGAATACAGTAATGACCGTGGAGTAATATCAAATATTAAAAGTTTTAATTTGTATGAACTCATTTATGCATTTTATGATTGTGTGAAATATTTGTGACTTCCTGCATGTGTCCACCAGGAGCATAGATTTGAGGGGAAAAAAAGAACAAAGGAGCAGCAGCTCTCTTCTAGGCACAAATGAAGTCTGTCCTGTGCTGAGAAAACACAATCAAGTGCCAAATGATTACACCATGAAAAGGTGGCAGTGTCACTGTGTTGACAATGCTGCACATATGGCCATAACTTAAATGTTGTCTTAAAGTATTTACAAAACATAGACCTGGCATTTTAGAATTATGGGAAGCTTTATCTGTAACTACATTTTATACTTAAGTTAATAACTGCAGTAAAAAAGTTTTTTTTTTGTTAATATTACAGATTTTAATGCATAGTTTAAAAACTTCTATATTAATGCTGTAGAAAAATAATATGTTTCCATTTCTGTGATATACTGTATTGTTCTGGTTCATCGTCAGAAATTATAGTAAAACCCCCCTACCAAAACGGAAAACGGAAAAGAAACCCATATCCAATACATGGATTTAACATTACGACTTACTCGTTGTGCTTTGGAGAGCACACTATTGCAATCGCTTCAGGTAGCATTAGCTGATACGAGCAGTGGGTATGAAGATCCACACTGGACAGGAAAGCCGTCTGAGTTGGGTGTGTCTATGACCAGAAAAGAGGTTTTGAAAAAGGCAAGCAACATGCAGAGGCATCGTTTTATCATTTTTGAAAGATTTCCATGTTGGGCCACTGTAGTAAAAATTGCTACAGTACATCCCCTTTATAGAATTGGAAACCCCTGATCAACTGCTTCAGACACCTAACCTCTTTGTACATTCAATTTATAGCGTGAAACACAGATTTCAATATGAAAGACACAGCTCTTCAGCAGGGGCCACATACAGAGAGGCAGAAATCCATAAAAAGCATTTCAGTGATTGGCCACTACACTCAGCCTCTCAGGGACATGTTCAAGAACAGTGATTAACAGCAGACATCAGCGCTTACAATCCTTCCATAAAGCCCGATGCTCAGAAGACTCAAGTGCAAATGAAATAAATTCTGCTTCACTGGGGCTCAAATATAAAATCGCATTCAAAATACAGTTAGGTATGCAATGCACTGAAATGTTCTTTTCTCACTATACAGCCTGGCTAGCCTGTGGAGGTAAATCGTTTTTCTGCTTGCACAGTATATGATCATATTTATCTTCACATCCATAAAAAACATTGTAGGATAAGAGTCATTTATTGTTATTCAGTAGACATTATCCATCATCTGGTATTAGTTTGTTCAAAGAAAAATGTAAAACTCAGCTATGAATGATTTTTGCATGTTAGACTACATGGTCATAGTCTAATGTGTCAAACCTCACAGAAGGGCGCAGTAAAATGCAGCATTTTTGGTTATTACGAGGAACTAGGAGCCATAAATCACAGTGATTTAAATTGAGCAATTTTTCTTCATGAAGGTTTTCCCTATCACTAGTTTAGCTCTTCAAACCTGTGCTTCCAATCTTTCAGATGATGTAGCAGAAACACAGCAGAGATGACCATGCTGTCTATGGGCACAACTGGAAGAGGACTCACATGAATCCAGCCCAGTGTGAGCAGGTCAAGCTGGTCCTGGAAGCTGAAGAGCTCCTCAACGTTCTCCATGTCACAGTAGTCTGGGCCCGCAGACTGCTTGGGAACTATCACATGAGTTATCATAAACTCATTATGAGTCTGCCAGACCAAAACAACATTTGAGAGGTTACAGGTGCAGAAGTTGAGAATAACATGCTAGTAGCGTCTTTAAAGGGCTAGAGTTTATACAGTAAACAATTCTGCTTTCTGTGGCCGTGTATTCCAGCACTGGGGGAGGTGGATGTAGTATAAATATGATACAAATGTGATTTGTTATTGAACACATTTTTCATTACATTTTTAATTGGGAAAAAAAGGTTGTTGTTTTGGCTGCCAAATCAATAATTATTTTGATAAGAGTGATTAATCTTTATCTTTATTAACTGTTGTATTTTGTTTCTTTTTTCTTTTTTCAACCTGCTTTACAGAGAAAATTAACACAGAAATTAACAAGAAACATTTGGGGACTGCAGAAGTGTAAAACTACAATGTAAATGTAAGCATTCTTAGCATTTCAAACCAGCTTATAGCTATGATACATGCTGATTGACCCATTGGCGAACATTAACCATTTCAACCATTAAATACTGTGACCTCTTTGGTATGTCCATCTAGTTGTCCTGGTGGCCTTTGACCTTTAACTTCCCCTGTCACAGTCTAAGAATATGGACTTTTGTCAAGACAATCAGACTACACTTGGTGGGTATTTGATCAGCCACACCGACTGCCATACAGACCTCTGGCAATGCTGTGTATATATGTAAAAAGCAGTGGGCTGCATACTTACAGTATGCCACAAACCCAAAAGAGTGCTACACATATTTTCGCCTATGACTATGATGAAAATATGTAGCATAATTCTGAATTATTCACATTAACTGCAGACTGTCATTACAACAGCATTCATACAAAATTAACTTTTTCAACCAGATTTTCAAAAGGGGCAATATAAGAATATGCATATGATGTATCCTAATATTATAGTGAATAATCTAATACAATGTAGAATATAATATATCAACATATTATCAAAATACATTCTAAAAAATCAACGTCCATTTGGCTCTGTGGCTAAGGATCTGCGCCTGTGGCTGGAAGGTTGCCAGTTCAAATCTTGCGACCGGCAAAGGAATCTTACTCCGTTGGGCCCCTGAGTAAGGCCCTTCACCCCAGCTGCTTCAGGGGTGCTGTACAATGGCTGACCCTGCGCTCTGACACCAAGCTTTTCTCCCTGCCTGTGTGTCTCATGGAGAGCAAGTTGGGGTATGCAAAAAGACAATTTCCTAATGCAAGAAATTGTATATGGCTAATACAGTGATCTTATCTTTCCTGAATATCGAAAGGTAAAGGTCATCTAACAGTTGAAATGACTACCACTCTGACTCCATTTCAGCTCTTAAACAGGTCCTTTAGGCCTGAAAAGACATTTTCCTTATGCAAGAAATTGTATGTGAATAAAGTGATCTTATAAATAAGAACACTAGGGTTGAGTCTCTTGCTTCTTTCAACACATGGCTGAATGAGATCCTTAGATCCTTTTGTTACAAACTACCAAGTGGGCTGGATAAGCCAAATCACAAATTTATAATCTTCTTATGTTCATATTTTTTGTGATTTTTAAGTTTCCATTAAGTAACTCAAACATTTCTTACCTCATTTAAAAATATTTGATTATTTTAAAATCTATAAAGGTGAAGACAGTTCTTTTTCTTTCTAAATGCATATTTTTAGCAATAAATAAATTCAGTTTGAAGCCAAAAACAAGCACATTAAAAATGAAGAATTAAAATGTATTAAATAAAAATTGTGTAAGACCATTCTAATTGCAATCTAAGTTACAATTAGAATTCAAAATAATTAACTAAATAATTAACTACGTTTCTAGAAATAACTTCTAGATCCAGTTCTTATTTTGTCCTTTTTGAAAAGCAGGCTGTTTCCGTCTGCTTGACCTTCACGGAAAGGGGAATTTTATGTGACCTTACTAGTTTTCCACAAAGAATCCCACAGGTTTCAATCCCTCTGGCTGTATTACTGTCAGCAAGAAGCAGAAACTTGTAAGATAGGTCTCTAGGAACGACAACACTCCTTAGCCCTTCCACCTTCTGATCTGTAATATAAGAGCACAATATGAGATGCATCCTCTTACACAGTTAGAATTCAAAAGACAAACAGTTCTTTGATGACAGCCTGTATCTAAATACACACCAAATTGTGATTTTTACAATTAATTAAAGCTGTGGTGCAACATTATAACAAGAGACCATACTTATATCACAGTTATTTTCATCCTATATTTAAATGCAGATGCTGCAATTACATTTAGAAATGAATCACAGATAATAGTGGATGCAAATGCAAAGTCTGTATGTACCTTTCCTCTTACCTTTCCTGACTCTCTCTCTGAGTCAGGGTATCTAAGCAGGAACTCACCTTGTATGGCACCCAGCGTGGCACTAGATTTGAAGGCCCTGTTGACAGGGGGAGACTGGCTGTTTTTGTGGCTGTGGTCCAGCCGGGAGCTGTTTTTGGGGGGACGAGCCAGGCAGGACCCGTCGGTTTGCTCAGGCACTTTTTGGACAGCTTCGTCTTTCTTGTTGGCCTGCTCCTGCCTGCGCAGTTGGTCCTCGAAGTAGCGGAACTGCTCTGATTCGATCTGCATCTTGCGCAGCTGGGCCACTCGCTGCTTCTCCTCCTCTAGCAAAGACAGCTTCTGCATCTGCAGGCTGGAGTGCTCCACAGCTTTGCTCTGTAGGGCAAGCAAAACTGAGACTTTAGCTTCATCTTTCATTTACTCATCTTTTTATCCTGGTGATCCAGCTCCCCCATATCCTTTTCCTTTTCTTAAAGATGCTGGCCTACTGTCATGTAGGTGACTATCTCCCTGAGGCCATAACAAGAAAAAACACATCAATCCATAATATTAAGTCGTCTTATCCCGATTCTCTTTACTGAACAATACTGCTGATATACCACAAAAGTTATGGTTTGCAAATAAGAATGACAGTGATTAATATGGTGGAAGATTCCCAGTTTTTTATTATTTTTTACAATTTGAAGTCACCAATGATTTAATTCACTGAATACCGTATCTTGATTAAGTTGGTTTATTGCTTCACCCATCATACCAGGGTACACAGGAGGACTATGCATGCTTTCCTCTGAAAGACAGTTTATCAGAACCATCTACCATTTTTTTACAATGGAAGTCTCACAGTGCCTACATGAGAGTGAGCACCGATTGAAGAGGTGATACGTCTCTCACTAACAAACTTAATTTTAATTTTCAATTAACATCGTGTTTTCGGGTCGGTAATGTTCTATTTTAATTGCCCTGCACAAGAAAATATAAACCTTTATCAATTTTAAAGTAGGTTCAGATACTAAAATGGGTCAAGATCTTTAATTTCAAAACTAATTTGCCTAATCAGAGAAAGAAATGAGGGCAGTAAAATGTACTTCATATTTTTAATAATACTGGAACTCCTTTGAACTTCAAAATCTAACTCAGATAAATACAGAGGTCAAGATTCATTCCTAAAATGACACAAAGGGGATTTTCTGTGTCAAACAATTCCATTAAAAATTAATTTATAATGATGATTTCTATATTAAGTAAATTATATTGTTTCAGCTTGATTACTGACAATGGGAATACTGCTGCAAACAGCTACAAAACACATTACTTTCACAACAACATGAAATACTTACTTGATTCTTCACATGCTGCATGTATTCTTTATTATACTTCTCTTGAAGGAGCTTTTTCAATTTTTCTGTTCTTGGAAAAGCTTCTTGTAATTTCTGAAAATATAAAAGATGCAATCCAAGTGTGGTTAATCTGTCAGCTCCATTCTTACTACAACAATGTCATCATGTCATTAGGCTGTACAGGCAGTACAGAGGTTTATCAGCTTATTTGTGCTGTACTGTAACAAAAAATGAGCATTGACCAAAAATGAAGATTGCTTTAAAAACTATGAACAGTTATTAGCGTAATTTACTGATTGAAAAAACACTTCAACTTTGGTGTTTCTGTGATTGCCTTGATAAGTCTTTTGAATGGAAAAAAAAATAAATAAAAATAATCTGAATTTCTTAATTGTCAAACCCTCAAAATAGACTGAGAAACCTTTCAAAGGGTTTTAAAAGAGAACTAGCCTAAACTGCCTCAGTATGAGCAGCTTCAAGGAAACACACGAACACTTGTTTGTTCTGTTCATGATCAAAAATCTAAAAAGCCATTACGATTTTTTTTAAACCTAAAGAAATCCCAAGAAAAGTGCCAGTGTAAACCATCCTTTGCCAACAAAGTGGAAGCATGAGTCATCTCGCACAGGGCATGCACACATTTCCAATGAGCCTGGAGCTCTTCTGTAGTTTGAGGGGGAGATGTATGCAATATCTCACTTTTCTTGAGCTGGGTTAATACGCAAGCATGAACATTGATTTGCATATCTTTTACTGAACATTAAGTGTGCAGACCTGTTGTTTTTAACACTATACAAATATCTCCTTTCTTATTTCAGTTAAGTATTAATAATAATAATATTGCACTTTGAAATCACAACTTGCAATCCAGTATATACAAAGTTTACACTATGTACAGGAAAAACAATAATGCAAGTACGATAAGGTAATGCAACAACAATAAGGCTAGGACAAGCTGGAAGAGTACTGCAAATGCTTCTGGATAATAACCTATACCAAGGAATTGTGGTGGCATGTCCATGTGTTGGCTTACCTTCATAATGACCTGTTTCTCAGGAACAGTACACTGCTGGTAGTCTCGATGGCTGGGAAGTTTCTCTACAAATAGACTGAATAATGAAACGTTTTATGTAACTAAAATGTACATGAGAGCCACTCTCTATTTAGCATCTTAATACCAGTATTTAATTCCTTACCTAACATCTGTGTTGATTTGAATTATTTGTTAAAATAAAATTTTCACTGAGCAAACTGTAATGTGATCTTATGGAAATATATGTCTTAGGCTCCAATTGACTCGAAATCATAAGCGGCCTAAGACTAAAAGTATGCAAACCCTGGTCAGGGCTGCTTGCCTCTGGAAATCCTCATCCTAATCCTAAATCTCCATCATGTATTGGGCACCTTGGCCTGTGGCTACACTTTTTGATCTAATCCACGCATTCATTTGCAAACAGTTTAGAAAACGAAGACTTTCTGTGGGCTTGGGTTAAAAACAGCTTTCATTTGATGACCTCTGCAATCACCAATTCCAACACCAGTTGAATCTCAGGAGCAGCAGCAGTGGGAGCTGGTGCTTGTTTCACACCCAGAAAAGAAACCAACAGCGGTTGCTGACGAAGACAAATCACTGTTGAAAATGAAAAATAAGACAGAGAGTACTGCCTGCCGAGGCAAAAAGGCCGGCAGACACGGCAGCTGCTTACGTGATGAATTTGTTGTAGAGGACAAAGGCGTTCTCCAGGTTGCCCTCCTCATGGTACACAGCTGCCATGCGCTCCATCTCCACCCCAGAGCGGAAGTAGCGCCTGGGGGTGATGTCTTCATTGATCTCAATGTTGCAGCCCATCTTGCTCAGAGCTCGAACTCGCTCCACGGCGGGCAGGCTGACATCAGTGTGGTCTGGCTCTGCTGCCAGCTTCTTCTGCAAGGCAATCGCAGCCAGTGACAACATCTGGCTATCAGATGACATCCCTGGAACATGATCCTACCCAGCCTTTACAGTGGGGGCTGGTCACTGAGAGACAAAGGAACACTGAACTTGTCACTGTCTGCACAACCCATAGTAATGTATGAAGAAAATGTGACAAATCATGAATCACCTGTCGATGGGCTCATGTGGGAAGCTTGGAGTGGAAACATGTGTTAAGTGCTATAGGAAGTAAACAGATTAAGGCTTACATATAACAAAAGTCAGCTGTATACATAAATGCACTAAAAAGGATTTGTTGGCCTTGAAAAATCTTTTTAAAATTAGGAATCTTTGCTTTACTAGTAGGAACCAAGACATCAAATATTCCTGCAGTTTGGACACTTGACTGATGGTAGGAACATCACACACTCTTTAATATGCGGTCAAGAAAAAAAAGCCATCTCAAGAGCTGTACAAATGTAACTGCTACCAAGCACCCTCCACAGCATGGATAAAACCTACGTTGCAGACCTGCTTTGCAGCGAGTGTTAATTATTCTGACTCACAAGCAGACACTTTGTTAATTTTACGTTGTTCTATGCCAAAAATGCTAACGAGGAATGCACACCAGTGTGCTGAAGCTAAACGTCTGGTCCATGTTGCCAGTGGGCTGCAGATTGGGGGGATCTGTTCTTCCTAATGCATCCATCTGTCATTTCCAGAGGCCTTGCAATGCTGAAGAGAATGAAGACAAATCAATTTCAACTAATGACACTACACGGTCAGTCGTAGTAAAAGGAGTTGCAATCGCTGTTTACTAAAGAGTTTTACCTAATAGGAACAGCTAGTTTAAGACTTACTGTGCATGTCAAAAAAGAAAACTGCAACCGTTAAAGGACTTAAAAATAGACTATAAAAATAATTCATGTTATTATCTAATAAATTAAAAAATAAAACTTATGATACACAAGTTTTAAATACACTGTACATAAATGAGAAAAGATCTTGCTTCAGCATTTAATTTGTAAATACAGAGCCAAACAGAAATTCTACTGTAGTTGCTATGGTAGCCTGTAACTATGCAGTAAAATCTGATGACTAATGTGTTTCTTTTATTTATTTGTTTAGATGGAAGCTCTACTGATGCATCAGTTGTCTTTATAGTACATCAATGAGTCGGAAGAGACAGGTTCAAATGGTTCTGACACTTGTGCTGACACTTTAAAAGCAAAATTTCATTGCAGTTCCTTAATATTACGTGTGAATGACTTCACAGTACATATTCAACACAAATTGCACTATCACTGGCAGGAGTCAGGTAATATTACCATAGCAACAAAGAACAAACAAAAATGTAGGTACAATACCAAGAAAAGTAAGATAAGATACAGTATAAGACAAACTCTCCACCCTTTGTGCCACATTACAGCAGTATATTTAGCAGCATTTGTTAAGACTGTGACCAGCTCTGGAGCGTTGGACCAGCTCTGGAACCACACTGGGTTCATTTCTCAATACAGAGTGTATCAAACAGAGTATAAGACACAGGTATGTTTACCCAGGCTTGTTAGAAAGGCATTGGAGAAATGCACAGCACATCATCATAGGCCACAGTCTATTTATTAAAAAAGGAACTCATACAGTATGTGTGCCATGAAAATCTAGCTGATTAAATATAGTATGAGTTTTATCTGTTAGACTCTACATTTGTGTTGTTTTTAGCTCTATAATTAAAGATTTCAGAATTACAACCTTAGGGTGCTATGTCACTTAAAAACAAAACTATATCCAAAATGTGTGCTAAAACATTGGAAAAAAATCTTTAAAAAAATGTTTCTTTACCTCTAAAGGATCACGGAGCTGTTCGTGTATCCAGTGCTAAATTTACAAAAAGCGTCTGAAAGAATGGGGTAAGGGTTCCTTCCTCATCTGAAACACAGCACAAGTCTTTTTTAGCGAAACTGGAGGATGGGGTGGAAAGGCCACCCTTCACAATGCAATTCAATCACCACGCCCATGGCACGCTAGCAGGGGAGAGACGGGGCAATTCTGACACCATCTGTTACTCCTAACTGTCTGTCACTGCAGGAAAGTAACAAGCCCGGCATGCGAGACTAAAACAAAGACACCCTGCTTCCTTTTACTCTAAACATAAGAAGGAATTACAAGCTAAGGAGAAAAAGATTGGAATTGTGAAAATGTAATTTATAAATGACAATCTTTAAAATGCCATGAGAGTGGTTGTCTTTAGCCAGTTTTTAGTAGCATGCCCGACTTATCCAATCAAAGCAATCATCACAGCCTTCCTTGGTTTGTCATTTCACTGGGCATAAAGAGCAGTTTGGGTTTGCCAGCTGAAGCCTTCTGCTAGAAGCCACACACTTCTCCGGTACAGCTACTTCCTCTCTGTTTCCAAACTTCAGGGCAGAACTACTGGGCAAGAGCAAAGCTATGCTGCACACATGGCCACAAAGAAAGGCTTGTGTGCTAGTACAATGATAAGAGCTGAAATCTGTGGTTTTTGTTTTAGGGAATTTACTATGGATGTTGCTGTTTAGAGGTTTCTTGTGTGGCAAAACCAAGAGATTGTCTGGCAAGATTATTCACCAGAATTCAGTCACCAAACAAATCAGGACCATCAGTATGATAACAAACAAATACACATGCATTACATGTACTTGAGGCACTGAATACACTCCATATAAAACCTATGGAATAAAACAGTAAACAAAACATGACACCCTAGGTCAAGAGCAGACTCAAGTTGTTACTGACTGCATTTCATACTATTACTCAACTTAAATCAAGCTTGGACTCACCTGTAAATCACAAACTTTAAACGCTAAACTTGAAGGCAGGTCTCCTTTCTATAGAATGAAAAGGCCTTTGGAGATCAAAAAACATTTTATAAAGTCCAGGTTTTGGGTAGTAATTTGTGATTGACAACTGGTCGAAGTTTCGATTCGAGCTAGGATTATGTGCAAGTGGCAAGCCCGAATTATTCAAATGATTTTTTTCTCAGTGTTTCAGTTGAGAGGCTTGCCACCTAGAACTCCAAACTCGAAGAGTGACGCAGCTTTTTCTTCACACCTCGTCTCCTCTTCTACAGGAGCCGGTTTTGAAAAGCAAGCTATCAGGTTCGCTACCGTTTTGTCACAGCACCCTTATTCATGTTAGCTCTCGATCCGAGAACTGTGTGGGACAGCTGTTCCGGATATTTGACATTGCAATTTGTTACTCACTGTTGCTTTCAAAAGGAGCATTACCGTTTCTTTCAAGCCAGTTCTGCTCAAGGCCCATTGTGTTAAGAAAAATCGCCATGGCCTTTATGGTTAGGGATGTACACATTAATGCTTGCAAATACGTTTTGTACTACACAAATATCTGGTGAATAGCCTGAATGAAGAGGATTTTAGTCACAAATTTAAAGCATAGTTTACAGGAAACCAAAATCACGTGAATATCAGGCAGCACCGCATATAATTATGGCAATGTTTTATTGATGATGTTCCGTCTGTCTCTTTGATTTACACCACTGTCCTGCATGTACCATCCTTAGGCTACCATTAGTCCACTGTAACTCTGCAAATTGCCTTCTAATAAAGCCAATATTTGCTCTGAGTTCTATTTAAATGTATGTTTTTTTTTCCGCACTGAAGCAATAAATGCTAAGGAGTGTGAGAAATGTGTGAGAAAAAGACAGTGTTACTGTAAAAATACAGAGAAAAAGTCAATGTATGTATAAAAAGCCCAAGCCACTTTTCCTTCAACAAAGAAAATAAGAAAGTTAACAAGGATGGACTTTCAGCCCATCTAAAGTAGCTATTTTCAGTAGTAGCTAATTGATCCAAGAATCTAATCCAGTCATTTCTTGATGGAAGTCAGAGTACTAGCTTTACATTGTGCCTGGGTAACCTGTTACAAACTCCTACAGTCCTTTATTCTCTGTTATTGTCCCACATTTAGCTATTTTTAAATGCAGACACCTTTTATTGTAGCTTGGATTAATACTTAAACGATGTTTCTACTGCTAAGTCTTCAAATTTTCCTCTTGTGCTAAGTGTGAGAAGTCCTTTATTACCTCCTGTTTTCAGTTCAACTTCTGCAACTCTCCTTCCTCTTTAGACACCTCTATAACACACTGTGTCCAGGTTTCAGATACAAAATGGCCCAGTTTTCTAGGTATGATTAAATTCCTGTCACCAAGATGTTTGGACAGGATGTTCGATAGTTTCTCCTTGTGCTGCACTATCACTCCTCTTTTATAAGGTCAACTTAATCATTAATGCAAATATGACTGCAGACACCTCCATTAGACTTGGCTCAGGGGACAATTATACTTTCAGACTTAACCAGTAGATAGCTGAGACTCTGATGTGGAAAACACATGAGTCAAAAGAATTGCCATAATAGTAACACTAGACATTTTGCCTTAGGGGTCAATCCATACCAATCATTAAGAAAGACGAAAGACGAAAAGAAAGAGCGAATAAAGTCCTGGGATAAGACATTAATTAATACTCCATTTCAGAAAAGGCTCCATCGGCTAATTAAAGACATGCCATTAAATCCTTCAAGGAACATTTGTGTCAAGCTGTTCTGCATTTGTCCGCAAAGCACATCTTATTAAAGTAAGATTCTATTAGACCCTTGTTATCCTAATTTATATAATATAGAATGATCGTCTCATGCAGAACAAGCTGAATATCTATAAACATTTAATTTAGCAGTCCACTAAAAACAGGATATTACTGTAAATTTATTACAGCTACCATTAAAGCATGTGCCTAAATAATTATGTTCAGTTAGATTATTTACTCATTTAAAAAACACATTCGCCTACACTGTAAAGTCACTGATGACTAGGAAAAACGACACGTAAGAACCAATTGCAATTAAAATATAACTAGTTAATGTATGTACAAAAATTCGATCAATAAATTTAACATGTGAAGAACGTGTCGAAACTCGTAATTGTCCGAAACACAGTGAAATGCGGAAAACATATGCACATCTCTACACATACACAGATATACATACACAGATGTGGTTAAGCATGATTCTCGGGCAGGAAAACATTTGAATTTTGGTGCGTAAAAGTTTCACTTCCCCCTGCCTGACACAGAACAGCACAGCTGCCGCGGACTCATTTAGAATACGCTGCGGTCATGAATAGCACTTGGACAGGGGCACATCAGTCGCCTGTACCTCAGATATAAGGATATTTTGACTGAATTTACATTTCTGTTAGTTAATGCACTTCCGAGCAATATTTCAGAATGTGCGCAGCTCATGATAAACAGAAAAGGACCTAAATTGAAGTATGTTCATTGAAAACGTTTCGTAGAGCATAGTGTCTGTGTGTGCAATGATGAGAACTTAACGTAAATTAATAGAACCACCATAAAACATATACTAAAATACAGGCGTTAATACATTTCAGTGGTCTCAGGGTTATGATTGGTAGATTGTCCTAAATCTTTCCACAGAAAATGGGAACAAAGTACTATTCTTCAAGTCTCTTCGTATTATTTTTATATAAACATGACTCCCGCAAAAGGTTATACATGTTTTTAATCAGAAAAACAACCGCACTGATACAACTTTGACATGGAATCAAAAGCTACACTATGATTTTTAAAATATATATATATATGTTTCGTCATAAAAATCCATTAAAACGCTTACCAGTTATTTACCTGCGTCTGTTCGTCCACTCTCCCGCATCCCCTATCGTCACATGTAGCGCATGCTAGAATTCACTGTAAAAAGAGCGACTCGCGTCAATAAAAGCCAATAGCAGCTGCTGTATGGATTTCCGAAGCTCTTGTTTTTGGCTTTTGTGTGTTAAAAAGCATTGTTCCACATGAAAACAGAACCAGGCACTGAAACTTTACCGGTGCTAAAATGGCTGAAAGCGCTCTCCCAAGCTAAGTATCCTATAAGGAAGGGGGCATTGTTACACAAGCCTCCTAATGTAATCCCCTCCGCAGTGTTTTCGATAGAAAGATGTCTTTTTTTAGTGGGAGAGAAAACACGGAAAAATAAGTAAAAAAGGGGGCTGGTTACTCAAACACAGCGTAGCAGGACATGCCAGTTGCAATCCGAAGCGCTTCATTCCTTGAATTTTTCAAATCAATAACCTGACAGTATTACGAGCACTGTCACACTGCTGAGTACACCCAGTCTTAAATCTGTGTCCTGAGCACACATGATGCAATGCTGCAACTACAACACCGTCTACTGACAGCACAAAAAGAAAAAAAGGAGAAACACAGCGGTACTATTTATGCATTGGAGGCTTATTTTGTAGAACATGAATATTCAAAATTAAAAACTAGAAACCATCAGAGCTGCCTTTAAGAGGAAGTATTTCAATTATTTATGCTAAGAGCGCAGGCGCTGAAGATGTCTGGTCTCACGTACACGAGTTGAAATACTGTTTGCTTCCATGCAAATCAGAATACATGCAACAGTTGCTAAACAGTTTATGCTTTCTATTCATCATAATATACAAAACTGATAAAATACTGCTGTATCACAGCAGTCTCCACAGATAAAGCAGATATGCTTAATTCTCTACAGTACCAACAGATTTATGGGACTGATCATTTTATGTTTTATGTTAACGTTTAACGTTTTATGATCTTTAAAAATATGTGTACACGTAGATTAAAAATGTGTCCTTAATTCAACCTCACTTTATATGTAGAGTTTTTTTCTCCATTAGAAAAACCGATTTAAACCTTATTGTCCAGTCAGAGCATCTGGTCAGGATTGTTCTAATCCCAAGTATTAGGACTCTGTAAGACAACAACTAATGACTGAACTGTTGTTGATATGATCAGAAAGAAATTGCATTTTACAGCAGCATAAGTGATGGATCACGAAAGGACAGAATTAGGTCTTCTAGTTGGGTAAACCATAGTCTTACAGATATTTTTTTATACTATACTTATTTGCCGTAGTCTTTTCCACAGTGGTAATACTGAGTACTTACTACATGGACGCTTATGTTACTTCTTTGGTACTGATTTCGTGTTTTATAAATTAACCCGCCTCAGTACACAGAATGCGGAAGAATTCGAGTGTTAGAGGTTTTCACTAGAGGGCGCTCGATTCGTGTGCTTTGTCCTTGTTTCCTAGCAACCTTATTGCCTGAATATAGGCTACAACAAGTGGCATTCAAGTCACATATTAATTCTTTCACGTAAAAAAAATAATTCTTTCACGTCTCATCACCAACACGGAATATCTGTGAAAAAATCTTTCGATTTCATGGCATCAAAAATATGGCCCGTTCATTAGTTTATTTTTTTTAAATACGTATTATGATGAAAAACAAAGAGTTTATTGTCTATCCAGGCGAAGCAATAAACTTATATCGTTTCTATTAAGCCGTATCAGAAAGTGGTATTAAATTAAAACAGATAGACATTACGTTAGAATAGCAATTTATTGATTTCCCTTTATAATTTTTACACCGGCACCAGGGTGAATATCCTCGACTAAAATCAAATCGTTGTTTTGAACCAGGTGGATGCTGCACATTGGTGGTGGTGGAGGGGAGTCCCCATTACCCGTAAAGCGAGTGTCAGGAAAAGCGCTATATAAGTGTAAGCAATTATTCTTATTATTATTATTATTATTATTATTATTATTATCAATTGATCATCCTCCGAAGCTAATATCAGACTATTAACGCCCTAAAAAGTAAAATATTTCCATCCTGTTAGTGACGGTAGCTGATACAATTAAACCTCAAGCTTCGAGTTTTTTTTTTTCTCAATACCCCAACAGGATGTCCACCTGTATGGGGTCCACCTGTTACTAAGTGCAAATGTTGTGATGTGGGACAGGTTGATACAACTGTACTACCTAGTGACGTCACGTTCCTCCCAAATACCTATACGGTCTCCACCCCTTCCCTTAGGTGTGGCGAAGCGGTCCCCAAAACCTCTCCGTGTTTTCCAGTTTCGCCATTTAATGACGATAACAACCACAACAGCAGTGCATGTTCTCTTCCTTCTACTTTGATATCCCGTTTGTTTCAACATACCTGATGCGACAAGAGGAAGATTTCTCAGTCTCTTTTATGACTAGGCGCGTTAAAAAAACCTTTAACCACACCCTCTCAATGCGGACTTTTTTTTTACGATGACACACGCTGAAGCATCAGGTTTTTGAAAGACTTAACACGAGAGAAGTTCAAGAAAGTCCTTCCAGTGGCCAAGTAAAATCACACTGCAGGAAACAAGTCCGGGTCTCGTGCGACAGAGGTTGAAAATCAGCAGGTGCGACACGCGTGTGATTAAGTCACGCAGGAAGGCTGGAGAGATGGGGTTGATGTACTCCGAGGTACTGTTCCGAAGGGCTACCTGAATGTTACAATGGTATCTTTAAAACGGAGTAAAACGTTTTTAATATCGCAGACGGTTTGCGCAGAAATGCAGATTACGGGTCTTTTTTACCCGTAAAAACGTATTATGTTTCTCCGATATTTTAGCTGTTTGGATTTTTAAACATTCTTAGTATCTTTCAAAACACTTCATTTGACATTTATTAGGCCTACTGTATGTCAAAATCCGCTATACGAAATTGAACTTTTTGTTTTGAAAAAGGCCGGCCCAAAATTTTAAGTTTATACCTGGACAGAAACATGAAATACAGAAAACGTGATGTGGTGTTCTGTTTAAAAGACTGGATACTTAGTATTAAAGGGTACATGTACAATATTTGATTACTTTGTAATCTTTTTAATTATCATATTTCTCGTTTTTTTACATGGTTTAGGGATTATTTAAGCTATTAGCTGTTAATGTATAATAACGGATGTTTTTTTTAAAATAATATATTGGTAAATTGATTTTTTTAACGACAGTTCTTATACGACAGTGTACAGCGGTCTGTAGTTTTGGAAATGTCAGTCTAAGTGTAGTGTTGAAAAAACTGCCTGTTTTTACAATTTTCAGCAACGTAATAGCTTCGTTTATTATCCATTTAGACTGCTTTCAGATGTTTCTCAGCACGAAAGGTACTGTAAACGATATATCATGCGCAATACATGTGTGTTATGCAATACATGGTGTATTCTTTCAAAATGATCAGTTTTCAAAATGTTCTTCGTTCAAAAATGCCCATTGTTTTAGGAAGTGACTGGTACCCTTTTGTTTCAGGAATTTGTAGCAACATGTCTTGAAATACTTTCAGGCAATGTCGATTGCAATATGTCATTGGCAATAACTTTATGGTTTTCTGTCCGTTCAGATACAGGAGTGATGTCATGAAAGCAGCTTCAGTTACCTGTTCTGCCTTAGGTAACTGTTGGTATGTTTGGTCCTATGTTAGCAGATGGCTGAAGTATGGGACAATGCAGCCAGTTTCATTCAATAGACTTCAACTGTGTTAACTGAAACTCTGCTACTGAAAAGATTCGAAACAGAGGCCTTTCTGCTGTTGGGATGTTAATGCACTTAAAGAATCGTTTAATAGAGAAAATGAACTATTTTTTATCAGGTCGTTAGAAATTAATTTTTAGATTGACTGACAATCTTGTTTCCTTGGCCTTGGGGACAAAAGAAATCCTTATTTTTCAAAATTTTTGTGAACTATTCAGATCTTTCATACAAAACTGTGTCTCTACATTCTCAGTTGTCAGAGTAATTTGTGGTACAGTCTTATGTTTTCAATGTTGGAGGTGTATTTTTGAGATGGTACAGTAGGTACAACATACTATAGCAGGTGTCGTGTGCTTTTTGCAGAAAACGATGTCAGTGGGCCGAGTAGGGCCCGTCATACTTGCTACCTTTAATTTGGCAAGATAGGTCACTTTAACCTGTTTTTTATTTTAGTTCTAATCTCTCTCGCTGCCATGTTTATCAGTAAAAAATCTTCTGGAGGAACACTCCAGTATTCAGACTATATCGCAAGGACAATTCATATAAGTCACACTTTAGGGGAGACAGTGTTCCACAAAATTAACTGGACCCAAGTTGACTATAAACATGGAGTATTGTTTGAACAAAGAATATTTTAGTTACCATTTGAATGTGAATTGTCTTTCTGTAGCCCATTTGTCAAGCTGCATATGACAATGACCTACGGGAGGTGGTTAGGCTGCTGAGGAAAGACCCCAAGAATTTAAATGCCCAAGATGTCATCTCCGGAGACACCCCACTGATAGCTGCTTGCCGACAGGGTCACATTAGGATCGTGATGTACCTGCTGGAAAAAAAGGCAGACGTGTCACTCCGAAATAAGGTAAGAGTTAAACACGATCAATGTGGAGAAACGTGTACATTTCATTGCTTTCTCAATTAAATCTAATAAATAACTGCTATTGTTTGAGTGAACGCATGACTAGATGGGGCATTAACTGGCTATCCTTCTCTAATGTTTATTTGTTTGCTTTTTATTTAAATAGCTATTTATGTGGTATAAGGTTCAAAAATAACATTAATAAGAAATCAGTTCACCTGAGAACATTTTGCCTAACATAAAAAAACAACAAAAAGACATGATTTCCTTGTTGCAATATGAGTTTTAAAATTATTCATGATTTTAACTTCAGTGAAAACAAAAAAATGCCTAGTTAAATCATAGCATAAACAGAGGAAATCAAAACTTAACTTTGAAGATGGCTAAGGGCTCAATTTCCCTGGGCCCACTTAATTTACAGTACTTACTGTAGAGTGTGCAGTTTTCCCCAAGGGGAAATAAAAACCTCAGTATTTGTAGTTCCAAGCTTTCTGGAAATGCAGAACTGCAGTGAGATCAGATCCTGTAGTCTGACCTTGTCAGATCTCTGAAACCGAGCAATGCTGGGCCTGGGCAGTGCTGGGATGAGTAACTTGTAAGCTAAACCAGGTTGGTACTGGGGGACCAGTAGGTGGTGGTCCTCCCTCTTGAGCACAATTTCTTAACCAATTCTACTGTTTGGTGACAGGGGGCACTGTGCTGCAGGAAGTTCCATCTTTTAAATGAGGTGTTAAACCAAGGTCCTGACTATTTAGTCATTAAAGATCCTTTGTCACTATTTATAAGACCAGAGGTCTGCTAGGAGTGTCCCATTCCAGTCTTCCTTAAATTTTCCCTTAATTCAACAGGAGAAACAGTTTCCTCATTTGTTATGTTATCAGCAGTGTAGTGGTGCTACTGGTACATAATAAAAACACAGGCAAATGCTGCTGTTTGGTAATAAATCTTTCCTATACTTTAAAGTACAATTTACGTATAGGACATAATACATGAAAAGCAATATATCAGTTTTAATTATTAATAAAATAATATCTAAAATAACTGTTCTATATAGTGTATGTACTGTATAACTTTGGAAAATCATTTTGCAGTCATTATCATCATGAATTCTAATGGGTTGTATCTTGTACACTACTTTTATCTAGTTTGCAATGGGTTTTTTTCTTGGTAGGATTTTAAGCAGTTTTATGGATCTATTTTTTGTCATTCTAAATGTACTTATGATACTGTCATTGCAGTTTCTAACATTGCAGGGTGTTAGAGACCATGCTTATTTTCAATGTACTCTGGCATAGCCACAAAAAGCAGGTCTTGTACATTACGCAATGTGCCATTTAGGCTGTGCTTAAGTATTTTTAATTGTAATACTGTAACACGTCAAGTATTGACCATAGGTAAAAGACTGGAGATGTCTCTTTAAAGTGTCTCTCAAATTAGGCTGGTTATAAAAAGACAGAGTCACTTGTCTAGTAGAAGATGCTTTCTCTGGATAGTACTAATACTGTTGGGTCCTAAAAGATTTTTAAAAGCCAGTAGTAAGGTGCAGGCTAGAGCACAGCTAATGAGATACTATCAAATCTCCAGAAAGATATTCCATTTTAATTCAATAACTGCTCTTCTCTTGATCCAATCAACTGGACTTTTGGAGAGTTTTGAAAAATAAGCGAATTGCTTATTGAATAAAGCAGTATGCTATAGATTTATGCAGAACATGAAGAACTGCGGTGTATTTTAGGATTCAATGGTTATTAATTTGCTCTAACCTTCCTTATTTCTTTGCCAACAGAAAAAGAGGACATCCTTGCATTATGCTGCAAAGAGAACATTTACTTTCCTGGATTATCTGATGATTATAATTTTGATGCCTGTTTTATTAATTGGATTGCTTATAATGGTATGTTATATTACTGTGGAATTATGAAACCACTGTCTGCTATGTCAAAATTTGTGGAGAATAAATCTACTAATCTTAAATGAGACCCTTTCATGTATAAAAAAATAAGTTTGAACATATCAATAGAACTAAAGTAAATGCCTTAACTGTAACTGTGTTAAAACCTCAAAGCCTTGATGAAGGTAATAGATGCTTTTAGAGATCCAACAAGTCATTCCAGTTAGAATGATAAATACACTAACTAGAAGAACATTTCTTGGCCATAGGAAGTCTACAGAAAGCCTTGCCTTAAACAGGAGACTCAAGTGAACTTCAAAACAGAGTCTCAAGAGATTTTCAACTTCATCCTACCTTTCCCCATTTGTCCACTGTCCACTGTGCCGCCCTGCTTCCAGTAATACCAGATATCCTCAAGATAGCAGGCAGTGGTCCAGCACAGGAGCTCTCACCGAACCCTGTGAAACCTGCTGTGCTGGTCGTAGCTGGCGGCAGGCGCAGGAAACATGGCTCATGCCTGTCCAGTCAAGATTCTCCCTCGGAGGCTTGAGCCGGTCCATTCTGTCCTAGAGGGGCAGTGGTTAGAAGGAAGATGCTGTCTTCACTTGTATTAACCAGACAACAGACTTTTGATGCAGAAAATCTGGGTTTCAGGGCTCTGCCATGGCTTGGCCACTAACCGAAGAGAAATCCCAGGAATGAATGTAGGTCCTTAACAAACCCTGTCAGAAGTACAAATCGACTGGTGGTCTTGGTCATTTCTGGCTTTCGGGGACTGCGGAATATCAGCCACCCCTCCATCACCTCTCATATGTTGCTAGCAGTGTGGAGTTTTTATAAACCTGGATATCTGCCTGTGCCAAGTCTGTATACAAACTGTATATAGTATGCACATGTAAAGGAAATGGAACAACAGCTGTGCTTTCTTGTTAAACGTAATCTTGTTCTTTAAACAGGAGGAAAAATTCAGGAAGAATGTGACGTTAATGCAGCTGCTATTAAGCACCACAGTCGACATTAATGCTACAGATAATGTAAGAAGAGGTCTTCTTCATTAAGGAATTCAGAATTACCCTTCAGTGCTTTATAAAGTAATTACAAAAGGCATGTACATGTCGGGGAGTTGAAATTGTTCCACCCGAAGTGATTCATCATCCTCAGAATGGAATAGTTTCAGTTTTCTAGCTTCTTGGTAACTATCACTGCAATTCTATGTGATTAAATACTACAGGTATTATTTATATGAAATTCAATACATGAAGGTTAAGAAAAAAGGCTTGACAGCCTTTTAACACCAAATATTTTTAAGTGCAGCTAAAACAATGCAAAGCAGCACTAAGTCTAGAAAAGCTGGTTCAGACATGGGCTAATTTGTAATTTGGCATTCACCCAAAAGCTGATTTACTCTATTGGAGAAATTGCATTTACAAAGTGTTGAATATTTTATCTTCTAGTGTGTTAGGTAGGAAAAAAAAGTTCTATGATAGTGAAAATAACCTGTTATTTTACCTTTCGTTGCAGAAAAGAAATACAGCACTTCATTATGCTTGTCAAGGAAAAAGTTCCAGAGTAATCCCTCTTCTCTTGGAAAAACATGCAGATCCTTCAATAAAGAATAATGTGAGATTTGTAGCTGACATGCATCCTTTGTTTCGCACGGCTTAACGTGGGGTCTGCTTGTTGGCTTATAATACAGTAACTTTAGTATTCCCCACTTTGCTTTTCAAAGAAACAGACAAAGATGTAAAGTCTCAGTAAACATAACCCAGACTCCACGGAACACAATGGTCAACCCAGATGCCTAATTATGTTTAAAGTATGTGTGGTTTACATATCAGTGTATTGTGACAAGTGTAACAGTTGTTTGTATCATTGTCTATGCATGGCTCAGCAACACTGTACTTAAGTGACTGGAACAATTAGGAGGCACGGTTGAAATCTCTTAGCTTTACTAAATATAAACTAAGACTACAGCACATAAATAGAAACACTGCTGTGTTGTTCACAGAATCAACTCAAATAGAATAACAAAGATATATACTATCATGTCACCAGTCATCATACATGAATCTTATTTAAAACTGAAAGCGTATATTATACTGTAGGTGTTATGCACACGTAATGTTTTCTTAAAAAGGCAACATTAGGACTAAGTGAATAGTGGGGAAGTAGAATTAAAGTACTGTAAATCAGTTTAATGACTGAAAAATGACTTTAATCTCCTCTAAGATTTATTTGTAATAACAAGCAGACCTTTATCAAATTAAGTTTTCTTTCAGCTTGATGACACTAATTGTTAATTATTTTGTCTTTCAGGATGGTGAGACCCCATTAGATATTGCAAAGAGGTTAAAATTTAAAAAAATTGTGCAGATGCTGAAGAAGGCCTAACTGCTAGTTGGAATTGTGAGAATCAACAAATTTCAGTGGCTCTTGTCTCATTGTTGTCATAAGTTTGTTATTCCTGTTTTTATAGTAGTGTGCACAGGACTGCATGCTTTACCTGGTACATTATTCATGCATTTGTTCGCTCATTATAATGTTGGTGGAACGTTGCAGTAATTGTGTATGACTGAAATACTTTCTTTTGAAGTTTTTCAGTTTTACAGTGAAATAAACTGAAATTAAAAATTAAAAAGCAGGGTCAGCCTAACAGTGTGTAAGTTCTATTCAAATAGAATTAAAGAAGTAATCCACCTTGACTGTAAATGAGTGTGTTCAATAATAATAAATATGTTTAATTAAAGAAAACTATGGTTAAAATTCAGTATTTAATCCTCTACTATTTATGTTAGTATTTTACAGCTGTATGTTTTCTGGTGAGAAGTTTTGCTCAGGAGCTGGATAAAATCAGAGCTTCATTGGCAGTGATACTGAATAGTCTTAAAACTTTTCATTATAAGAGAGCTCAGTTTTTTTATTTTGCAAACAATATTTAAATGTTTGCATGTTTTGTCACATTTAGATAAAGTACAAATCTATTAAGTCAGACAGAGCTGCCTGTTAATCCAATTTCTAGATGATAAAGAAGAGGCAAAACTGCTTCATGACACAGCAAACCTCCTAACTGACCTCCTGTTTCATGGCATGGTTAATAAAATCCAGCTACACACTCAGGTTTTCTCAGTTTCCTTTAAAACAAAAAAAAGCATGTAACAAGGGTAGTATGCATCTATTTGCATGCAAAGCTATGGTAAACTGAAAAGTTAAACTGAGAATATATTGTGAAAAGTGCAATGCTATGCTCATTCCCTAAGAATCAGGTACTCGTATACATGCTTTTGTCTCTGAATACTCTCCCAATGCTTCCTTGCTGCTAGGATTATCATATACTGAATTGGTTGGAGTTACAAAGCTCAACATATGTATGTTTTACAACTCAGCAATATTAAAGAGATTAGATCAACTCCTATTCAAATAAGCGAACGGGTGTTACTGTACACAGAAGACAACCTGTTATTCCAGTTGCTACGAGTGTAGATTTTTTAAGGAAAAAAAAAAATTAATAATAATAACACCAATTCTTTGAAGGCAATTTTATTTTAACGAACAACTCAGTGCATGTGTTTGACAGAACAGCTCAAAAACACCTTTTTTACCAAAAAAAAGTTTAATACATTCTTTGATCAGAGGCATTGTTAAAAAAACAGGAGGGGGGCAAAAAGGAGAACATTTTTACATTTGTTAAATGCAAATTAACCCAGTCATTCACTTTACCTGAACAACACTTTTGAATGTAACTGAATTATGAGGAGCTTCATCTCATTTAAATTCTGCAGGGCTAAAAACACAAAATTCAGACACAATAACATTGACTAAAACGCAAGTTTTTCATTTGTTTGGGATTGGAGATGCTTGCGTTCAATCTCCCTGATCTCCCTACATCCAAGTGATTCTACTACATTATGTCAAATTAAAAATTAGTGGTATTCCCTTAAGAGCACAACTAAGACATAAAATTGTATTGCTCACATTTAAAAGGATAATATAAAAAATTCTTAAAATGTAACTTTGAGATAAAATTGCCTAATAAGTAGGCTTAGGACTCCCTAGACAGCTGTGGAAAAGTATTGGGTAGGGGGTTACACCAAATAAAATGATTAATGGTTTGTGATATGGATATGAAAGCTATTGATATTTAAAAAGTCAAGTTTTCAGAATCCCTAAGAGGAAAAGGTGAACTTTAATCATTTAATAATCAAAAGTGAACTTAATCATTTTAATAATAACCTCAACATATTTATACACTTATTGTGTTGATATTTTCTGTAAAAGGAGACCAGATTTATACATATTTTAGGAAATATGAAAAAAAAAAACAGATTGCGTGGTTTTCTCCCAGGAAAAAAGGGTAGTGGCAAACATTGCAAGGAAAAACCCTCCAATAAAGTCTTTACAATAATCAGTTCTAAAATCTGGAATGCCGGCTAAAATCCTCTAGACTAGGAATTCCACAGCACAAGCTACTAAATAAAATAATGAGATAAAGCTTTATGATCAAGGTACAATTTAAGTGAAAAGGGGTTCAGTAGTATGATACTGAAGAGACAAGGATTCAAAACCACAATAACACACACGTGTCAGCAAAGTTCAGGCTGAGGCACCTTTAGTTAATAATTTGTATCCCTGCAACATGACCTTTTAATAACAATGGGTTTTTCTATAGAGGGACATTTTGAGCGAAACTTCTAAAACTGCTTCAGGGCAGTGTGGCCAGTGAGAATGTTAACACCTCAAGCATTCTGGTTCATGAGCTTCACCATCTCACTGTACATCAGCTGATTGGCATCCAGCCCCCAGATGAAGTCCAGGTGCTCCCAGTGGGAGATGTCCTTGTGGTACACCAGGTTGGAGATCTGGGTGAGGAGCAAAGCCACATCTTTGGGATCAGCCAGCCAGTCATGCCCTCCTGACCACAGGGCAGTGGGCACCTTCATGTCTCTGATGTGGTACTGCGGAGGAGTGGGCTGACAAATGGGAGACAAGTGAGGAGATGCTTCAGTTGCTTCGCAAGCAAGTACTGACATAAGAAAAAAATCTGTGGACCCTGTCTTAACACCTTTAAAACAAATAAAGTTATTTAATTAATACCATTTCTGAAACTGACATTAATACCAAAGATGCACATTCTGATTCCCCATGTTTTTTAATCTTCTTTCTCCACCAAAGGTAAGATGTGACAGTTCATTCAGATATGTAACTATTATAAATATTCCTCATGCTGATAGCTGTTCGGAGCTGTAAATGAAGCACTCTCTGGTGACAGACTTGAGGACTAATCCTGAATGAACACTGTGATTATATACAATTTCCTTAGCTATGTGACTGAGGTACAAACTCTATTGGAACCGGATATTGGAGATCTCATATTTAACATTGTTATTCTAGAATAGAGCATCTCAGCAATAATTGAGGTGATGCTCCTTTAAGAATCAACAGGTTGGGCTTCTCGCTGATTAAATTCACTCACAGTCCCAGGCAAAGTTAAATGAGTTACTTCTCCAATAATCGTTCTTCTTTCTGGTCACATTTAACTTTGTTTGGGATTTAAACAGATTACAAGGATGTCCTGAGATGACTTGTCTGTATAGAATAACGTGATAAAATAGGAGTGAACTGAACTTGAGCAAGTAACCTTTAGGATTCTTACTCAACCTTCAGGGGCTAAACTTTCAGTGTTCAACAGCAACTTGTCAATTATACTGTACCTGGGTAAGACCGTTGCCTCTGGAGATATAGTTTACTGACCTGCAAGGCTCATCTTTATTCCAAAATACTACAGACATACAGTGTGTGTTCTTAGTTTCTTGAAATTGCATTTTTGTCAATCATTACAATAAAGTATCTATCTATTATAATGGTCACAGGTTAGAGATTAAGCTTCCAGTGACAAGTAACCCTAAGAACTTTGTTAGCGGTGTTCGGACTTTGAAGTGTGACCGCTACAATTATAATCCCTTCAAGCACTTCACAGGACATTCTGAAAATACTGCTACTGTGGCATGTTCAGTGTGGAAATGGAGTCTTGGATTAAGGGCAACAGGTTGCCTTTTTTCAGCCACAGCAGCCCTGGCTGATTAAGGACGAGCCGCAGCTTCAGGGGCTCTTTAAGACACACTGAACACCTCCTCGGAGGGAAGAGCAGACCCCCAAGTGGAGAACCATCCGGTGACAGTCCCGGAGGGGACTGTGATGTGTTTTTCTTTCATTTTCATTTTCTTTTCATTTCTCCTGTCCCACTACTGTATGTACCCTCACCGGGGCAGGCTGAACCTCTTCTCCCCTGTCCTGCTGTCTATCCTCACTAGGACAGGTTGAGTTCTTTTTTTTTAGCCTTGCTCTCCTTTTCGTCCAGTTTGGCCATAAGTAAATAGGGATAGCTGCTAAATAGGATAAGGCTGTTCCCAAGTGGTGCTTTTTTCTCCCAGACTGGATCCTGTTAAATAGGGACAGTCCAGTCTGGATGCCGCTGTGCAGAGCAGTGTGCTTTTTCTTTTTTCCTTTTAGTTTTTTTCTTTTTGGATTTTGCTAGCCTCCCCTCCCCTCAAACGGGGTGTGACTTTTACTGGTGTTGTCCTTGTGTGTCTCCTTCCACTCCCACACTGTTACAACACCCTCAACTTTCCAGACACTGACCCCATTTAAAGACCTACCTGGTTGTAATGTGCCATGTTTCCAGATGTGCCATAGTCAAAAGCCATCAGTTTCCTTGTCTTTATGAGCTATAAATACAAAAACAACTGTCAGTTGTCTACATTTGTGTTCAGTTTATACAGATGTCTCCTACTACAACTCATCACAGTAGCCTATGTGAGTGAAAGGAATAAATGTTTACTTATCATAGCTAAGGTGCAACCAAACTCATTCATAATCACAAAGTAATTGTACTGTACTTGCAATTTCATCCAAGTCTTTGGATTTTGGACTGGGGACCTTCATACCTGAAACTGTGATTATATTAGGTAATTAAAACAGTTGAAGCTGTATTTATTTGACACGCCAATGATTAAGGAACATTTGCTTAATGTATGATCTACTGCATATCTGGACAATCTTGCTGATTGGTAAATATAAAATCACTTCAGTGCTAAGGTAAGTGTCAGGGTTTCAATTACATTTACGTTTAAAGCTGTGTTAAATAATAGGGTTATCAACAGATTTCAGGCAGGTATCTCCAAGCGCAACAGTCCAGGAGAGTTTGGAGGTCTGTTTAAATCAGAAAAACACAAGACCCGAGGAGAGGGTTAAAGTGGCTCAATTATGAGTTAATCACACCATTTAACCCCTCCAGCACTTGCCAGAATCAGCTGGTGATTTAAGGAGCCCTGCAAACGTTACTCTCAGGGAGCAGATGTGTGAGCCCTGGGTATAGCACGTTGCACTCCTGCTGAAGTTTCAGGTTGCTTGTTTCTCTGTTTATAATGAGCTGTGGATTTATTTTTTATCTTAGAAAAAAACTGCCAACCACAGTTCATTAGCTTCCTAAAATAAAAAAAGGCATTCACAAATCTGATAATCATCTTAAAATCTGGAACACATTAAAGCAATAAGACATACATATCTAATAACACACTAAATATCTCCATGTGTGTAGGTTATAAAGACATAAATGCTGCGCTCCATTTAGAGTACACATTATACTGCTGTATAAACAGTTAAAAAATTAACACTTTACCAACATTTTATGGTCATGTTCATATTACCAACCAAACTTTTGTTGTATGGTAGTTATGTGCTTTATATATATATACTGTCTTGTGAACAGTCTGTTATGCATTAGCAGAAAAAAAAACACTGACCTGATTATAAAAATCTGTGCAACTGTCAAAGGTGAACTGTTCAGGAAGGAGCTCAGAACACAGTCTCGTAATTAGGGTCTTACACATGAAACTATGTTTAGTAAAATGTGCAGTTCAAAGTGTTCATTACTAAGTTTCCAGCATCCATTACTTGGGACCACTCAGTCACCCCCAGCTGGGATTTGGTCGCTGTCTTTCTGAATTCAACATTGCTGAAATCCACTAAACTAAAAGATTAACTCACTCAGTAGGAGACTTCAACACCACTGGGAGTCCCAGAGGAGTGATGTCACCATAATAAAGTCATCTTACATTACAAGTCCTTTCTTTTTCAAGAGAACTTAATTTTCTTTGTTTCAATCCTTATATTTATTGTAAAACTTAAGTGACATAAACCATTTACTACGTCAAAAGCTAAAAAAGTAACCAGTAGGCACAGAGATCTAAGGCAATATCACTCTCTTTTCTTTCCCCAGAGCCCAGGCATTCAGTAGGGGAGGTGAAAGTACAGAGTAAACTCCATCCTGAAACCTGATTAATACGTATGACAGAAATTGGCATAACAAACATTTTCTTAGTGGGCGGACAAAGCTCAAATCTGTGATGACAAACATTTAAAATCACTGAAAAGGTATTTTCATTAGAGAAGCATATTCAGAGGATGGAACAACAGTGTGTTCAGTTAACACTGCTACCTCATAGTTCTTGGGCCCTGGGCTTTGTTTCGGAATAGGGTACCCTCTATGTGGAGTCTGTATGCTTTCTCAAAGTGCTGGGGGTAGTGTGTGTCTCTAAATTGTCTGTGTGTGTCCTGCAAGGAACTAGTGTCCCGTCCAGTGCCGTGTGCTCCCTCGACAGACTCTCGATTTCTGCATCCCTTACCAAGAATAAATGGCTTTCTGATGACAGATGTAAAAGTATGTATGTTTGTCTGTTTAAAATTACTTTCAATATTTGTTCTTTACAAAACTGAAATATTTCTTCTCTGCAATTTTACTAAATTACCCCAAGGGTGGTTGAATACAAAACATGCCACTCATATTTTAATTCTTAAAAATGCACAGCCAGTTCTAAAACACAAAGCCTGCACGCCAGATTTGAGTGACTCATGATGGCAAAGTTCCTTACCTGTCTCCAGTGAAGCATGTTCTGTACCGAGGTCCCAGCAGGGCAGTGTGTGGTGTACACAGGAGTTCGAGACTAGAGACAATAGCAGGACACTTCATGACACTGAACTTTTTCAGAAATGTTTACAAAGCAGAAAAACAAGAATTGCTTAAGCAAATAAGGGGACAGAGTCAGAGTAAAAATGAAAAATAGTTTCTGAGTAAATGAAGAATAATGGCTCCATTTTAGATAAAAATTTCCAAAATCAATTAATATCCAGAGGTAGTAAAAACGGTTTACTGAAGAGATTGTTTTTGTTCATTACGCCTCTGATGTTAGACTAAACTTACCATGTTCAGGTTTTTCTCATCAAAACCACAGAGGACGAAGAAAATATTGCCACACAGTTCATCCAGTGGGACCTCGCTACAAAATTCAGTTGCAAACCATTTAATCAGAGAGCTCTGGGGGAAGAAATCCTTTCTTCCGAAGAGTTCCTGTGGATTTGAATTGGAGGTCTTGTTAAAGAGAATTCATAATGGACCGATTCAGGGAAAACTGCATCTTAATCATTTCTTGGCATGAGCCATATGCAGATAAATGCCACGCACGTTATTAAATTCGCAAAGACTTCAAGCAGCTAACATTAAGTCAAAGAAAATGCCCTGCTTTTTAAATCTTCAAATGCCATTTTGTTTCTTGGGATTTCTTTTTGTATTACACATGCAATAAATTATGCATTTTAATCATACTTAACAGCAAAACTTCCAAAAAATTGTCACAAATTAGTCTAAAATGTAATCTAAATCCATGCAATGCTGCTTCCTGCACGGCTTGCTTACCCAGATAAGGAATTCGGGAAATATGGAGAGTTTGGTCATGGGGCTGGTGGCAAAATCAACTGTACCCACTGGGGCCAGTGCAAAAAATGTCTTGATTTTGCTAGCCAGCTCAGGCATGGTGGAGAAAGCTATAAAACCTAAGACACATACAAAAACACACCAGTCACACTGCTGTTTCCCTCCTCCAGATGACATTTGCATTAAGCAGATACATATAATATACAGTGTATTACCTACATTTGTATACATACCTAACTATAGAAAACATACACATATATACGTTGTTCCTCAATGTGACTTTAGTTAAAATGTTAAGAAATATACAACACACAACTATATATAAAATATGGACTATCTCCTTCACTTTATTGTAAAAGTGTCTTTTTAAATGAATGTAATGATCCTGACTCTGGGATATTTAAAATAAAATGTGTCCAATGTAGTGTTTTGTTAAGACGTTTCAGTCACTCTTACCTATGGTAGTTCCCTGAGAATGGCCCACATAGTAAATCTGTTCTTGGCCTGTGCTTTTAGTGATGAAATTAATCACTGCTGGAAGGTCTTTTTTTGCCATTTCATCAAAACTGCATTAAAAAAGAAAAAAAAAGCACCAATCATATGAGCCATTTTTAAAGAGAAAGATTAACACTGCAAAGAAAATGCACAACTTACAAGTATTTGTCATTGTTAGACTAGGGAGTGCAAAAGAGGAAATGATAACAAAAAATGCAAAATCCTTTTTTCATAAAGAGGCGGCCCACACAATGCTTTTTTTAACCACTGAGGGAAAGTATTTCTTCATTGCTTTTCTCAGCAGGCACCACGGTGTTCTGCTACAGGCTATGTTGTTATGGGCACCATCATTGCTCTTTAGTGCAACACTTTAGTGCAACACTTTAGTGCAACACTTTAGCCAGCAGCCATATCACCCTGCAACTCACAACTGGCAACCCACTGAAGCTAAGCAGATGTGAGCCTGGTCAGTACCTGGAGGGGAGACCTCCTGGGAAAAACTAAGGTTGCTGCTGGAAGAGGTGTTAGTGGGGCCAGCAGGGGGCGCTCACCCTGCGGTCTATGTGGGTCCTAATGCCCCAGTATAGTGATGGGGACACTATACTGTAAACTGGCGCCGTCCTTTGGATGAGATGTAAAACTGAGGTCCTGACTCTCTGTGGTCATTAAAAATCCCAGGGTCTTTCTTGAAAAGAGTAGGGGTGTAACCCTGGCATCCTGGCCAAATTTCCCATTGGCCCTTACCAATCATAACCTCCTAATAATCCCCATCTATGAACTGGCTTCATTACTCTGTTCTCCTCCCAACTGATGGCTGATGTGTGGTGAGCGTTCTGGTGCACTATGGTGGATGCTGCACATTGGTGGTGGAGGGGAGTCCTCATTACCCGTAAAGCGCTTTGAGTGGAGTGTCCAGAAAAGTGCTATGTAAGTGTAAGCAATTATAATAATAATTATTATTATTATTACTTTACGGTCTGAACATGACCATGAGATGAACTGTACAGACTAACATACTGACTTACATTTTAGACAGGTTTAATTTTTAATAACAGCACGTCTCATTGCAAAGCTAACAAAGTACCTTCTTATATTTAACTAGACATACAGTATATTTATTACACATGACATGTAACATAAGAGACGTTCTGTATTAGATATATACATGAGGTATTATCCGATTTCATAGGGTACACCCTCACCAACACGAATTTAATACAGTAAAAAAATCCAGCATTCAGGCCTGAAAGTGAAGATTGCACATATGAAACAGAAATTGAATCTGCTGCTGGACCACTGCATTTGCCCATTTATCAAAGTGACCAAGCCTGAATTCATTCAGAAATGGACTCTGTGTGAAGGATGGGCAAGTGTAATAACCACGAACAAGCAATGCCGGTTTGCCTCGATACCTAAATGCCCAAAAGGCATCCTGGTCCGGGCTGAGCGTCACATGTTTCCTGGACCAGGTGTTCCCCCGGCTGTTTCCAAGCCACACGTCATAGCCAGCGTCTGCCAGGATAAAGGCCAGGCTGCTGTTGGGCAGGTTGGTGACCCAGTTGCTCCCAGCGGCCAGCAGGCCATGTTGAAGAAAGGCCACCTGCCTTGGTCCTGCAAGGAGACACAGGGTCTGATATGAAACATCACACAGTGGATGCATACCCACTGAAAAGCAAATGAGGATTTCTTTTTGGGTGTCTTTACAAAAAATGTGTAGTAACTGTGACATCAACAAAAGGGATCCCACAGTATTTTTCTTGGACTATTTCTTTTAGGAGCTGGTTGTAACGAGCACAAGAATGTAAGAACATTATAACACAAGAACAGTTACCGTTTAGCCTGTTTATTAGAACCACAGTTTATGAACCACAATATATAAATTAGAACGATGGACCATTAAAGTTCATAAAACATTCTGTTCGTAGATTTCCATACAGGCACATGATGTTGACCCATTAGATTTAATTTCAGCCCTGGGCAAAGGACAACTGGAACAGAACTTATTAGTGATCTAGAATTGAGCCAAGCATTGACAATATACACATGCAATGTTTTTTTGAGAAGGAAGAGACTTGAAAACATGTTCTCATCACACTAAACCAAATTTCATGCTCTCCTTTCTAGTTTTATGATTAACATACTGTATCATGTTTTAAGCTGAGAAGCCATGATGCTTCTTGTATCTGTTCACAGCTCCATGAAATATTAATCTATGTACTGTGCTTCTGACAGGCAATAATCAATAACAACAGCAGGCTTCAGAACAAGGCACAAAATATCAATGAAACAGTTTTTATAGATTAAAGCCTGTAAATTTACCCAGTCCTGTAGAAAAATAAGTAAACACAATTTTTCTTGGTAGATTACATGTAATCTATATAACAGAACTGTTGCTCACAAGAATTGAAGAGAAGATTGCCTGAGGTTTCGTAGAGCACTTCTGAGTGTACACACTATATTGCTTTCCTGGTATTTGTTCTCCAAGAGTTTAACTATTCACCACCAGAGGGAGTCGGCTGACCATGTAATTTTGACTATAATTTTTTAGGCCCGAGGAGTTCACAAATGTCCACTTCACAAAAGACCTCTTTCGTTTTCTTTTTTGGGATCTTTATCGCTGAGATCCGCCAGAAACAGGATATGCACTCCACTTTTCAGCAACACAAACAGTACTGTAGCCGATATGATTGTTTAACTTCAAATCAACAATTCTCCTTACCAGCTTCCCCCACCTCGGTTTGTGGCATTTTTTGTGTAATTTACAAAACCCTTTTGTTGTCTGTTAAATTAACAGGGTCTGTTATTCTGCTGTCCAGACATTTTGTGTACAGCTGACTTCTCTGGAGTTGCTGGAGACATGGGCGAGGCCACAGCAAGAATCGAATATTTTTTAAACCTTCATCTGCTGAAATCTGAGCCCCTTCTAATTGCAGCTCAAGGGAGTTCTGTAGAATGCATCTCATAAAATGTGACATGACAAAGGAGAAAAGCCCAGTGCTTGTGTACTACTGGAAATGAATACTGGAACAAGTATTTTCTCAATGAACTCAAACAAAGAGATTGGAATGTGGCTGAAAACAGACAACTTGTTTTTTTTTTCCTACAAATCTCATTCACATGCATGACAACATGGATAAAAATCAGGACATAAAAAACGGTGGCTGTATGATATGTAAGTTTTTTTTCTCACTACCTTGACATCAGGAATAACAAAGCATAACAAATCATAACAAAGCAGAAGTGTTATCTTAATCCTATCTTAACCCCTTAAGATGTATTTGTAGTGGTAACGTCTTCAGCAATTTTAGTAAAAATCCGAAACAAACCCCCTGGAAAACATTTTTGATATTTTAAGATCTGAATCATCGAAGTGTAATGAGAAATTGAAAACACAGTATGTGCTCTGATTAATTATCAGCACAAGCTATAAATTGCTGCCGCTCCTCCCAAAACAATTCATTTGAACCCTGGGGAGGGGGCTGACACCTCTTGTATCTAATTAATGAATCTGATTAATGTAATTGTTATTTCCAGCTAAATGCATGAAGTGATAGACTTGTTGGTGCACAATTAAAATGAATATTCATCACACTACCAGCACACTTCTAACCTATAGAGTGGAAAGTGAAGCATAGAGAATCACTGGCAGCTCCTTTCACACTCATTCAAATGCCCTGATGAAAGACTGGCATAGAGGGAAACAATCTGATGGTTGTCTGATTAGTGAAAACATTTTAGAATACATTTATGATCAATCCACCAATTTGTTTTCCAGATTAGAAGAATTAAGAAACTGCATAGATGTAGAGAAAAAAAAGGGAAAAACAAAATCTGTCAGACTTCTCTTGCATTTGTAAGGAAAATAGTGACCATTATAATAAATCATGATTTTTTTTATTTAAACCCAAAAGATGATTTATTGCACCCTGTGTAAATAACTCCAGCTTCCCTTAACTTCATGAGAGGACACTTGAATGAAGGAAAAGAGCTACATTAATACACCTACAGGAGAATTTATGCTAAGGCAACTTACTCATACTTATCATTCGAGTTGGTTCTGTATAGTGTCTATACAACAGAGAGAGCTGGATGCAGGCCAGAGGCTTTGGAATATGCTTTTCACCATTTAGTTTCCCCAAATTAGATTAAAACCTCTGTTTAATTACCACTTTGGTCATTAAAGAAATATCAGAAGCAAAGAACAGGAAATAAGAAAAAACAAAATAATTGATTTCTAGTAGCCTATGTAGGAGTGGATCCCCGTTTACCATTTGATATCTAAATCCGTGAATCAATGCTCGGGATTACTACCTGCGAGTGTCACAGATTACATTTCCTATTTGCTCTCCCTTTTTAAATCCGCCCAGACAATGGGATTCAAAACCACTTGGATGGTTTCATCATAAGAAAAGCAGTTCTCATGCACCCTACAGGCAAGATCAGTCAGGACTGGTTGTTGTCATTGCTTATTTTAGGCAGCTATCCTGCTGCGCATTAGTGCTGCCATGTGGAGTGCTGGCAAGGGGCTTACACTGGTGACATACATGTGGCAGACATCCAGATCCCCGTCATAATGTGGCTGGGGTGGTTACACTACATGAACAGGATGCTGGTTTATGCACAGTAAATCTGTATGGCTCCACACACGAGTTAAGAATGTGCCTGGCCACAGCTTCTCGCACTCCTACTTGTGTTAGGCCTCCTTGCTTGTAAAATTCATGATAAAGGGAACAAGTGGCAAAGTGACCAAAAATAAATGGGTTATGAAACCGAAGACAAGTGTGCCGTTTATATTTTTGCAGATAGATTTCTATGAATGTAACAGGCTTTTGTGTCATGTCGCATATTTCTCACTGGAGCTCACAACGGCCCTTAGAACTAAATCCAACTGGGTTTGGAGACTTTTTTTGCAGATTTTGACTCCCTTCGTGTGAGCATTGGTTAACAATTTGAAGAACTTGTGACAGAAAATGGGTTGGTATATTTGTGAGAGACCACATACTGTAAGTACACAACTGCAACTAAATACAGAACCAGTAATGCTGAATATAGTTACGTGTTAAGATTCACCCTACAATTCCAAAAACAAGGTGGAATTTTGATTGTGGTGCTTTATCATTACTGTGCTCTGTCAAGAAAGGCCTTTGTTGTAAGACCATATACAACAGTTATCATCTCAAAGGACTGACAGTACTTAAATTTAAAGTGTAATACATCAAGGTTTAAGAGAGGATTGTCTTTTTAATACTAGGGCTACAAGGAACTCACTTCAGAACCTACTTAACATGTTTACTGTGTTCACACTTTTTGAACAAGCACATATTGATACCTCACAGTAACAGAAATACTGTATGGCTTCCTTCTCTCTGCTGAGCTCACTAATGGTAAGAAGTCAGACATACCTTTCTACCTCTCATCACCGTGTTTGTAGAGATTTATATTTAGCTTAGAGTTTTGGTATTTTACAGTGTGAAGCATACTATGAGGAGGTGTAAAGAGCACATTCAGAATCTAATTTTAAAATGTTAGGAGTAACGAATACTCTCAGATGCTCCTACGCCAGAAGATGTTTCTCCAGCTACAGTATGACAGGAGTTATATTTATTTGGCCATGTTATGTTATAATTACAAACTACTAAGGCAAGGCAGGGTGCTTTAGAGTGAGTTTTGTCAAAATGAATACACTTCAATACTTCAAAAAAAATTTTCAGAACCCATTAGAAATCGCCAGTGTCATCACAAATTCAGCAACTTCAATTGCTTCTGATCTATCTTAAACGCACAGTACCTGCTGCATTCTTCTTAATCCCATGTGGGATTCTGTTTACACTCAGGATATAGCCATCTTCAGTAATGACTTCGTACTCCTCCACAGGATAACCCCAGTACGAAATGATCTGGCTCTACAGGAGAGAAAGAAACCAAGATAAATTATCTGTCCATGGCCCCTATCAGACTGTGGTGATGCAAACCCTAATGAAGATAAGCATAGTATTGGCTAGATACACTATTTTTGCATTTCTTAAGAAGACATTTTGTTTGATGTTGATGTAGGAAGTGTTCATTTATTTAAATTTAAAAAATCAAGAATCTTTTAGCATTGCGATAAAAACCAGAGCACATTTTATTAATTAAAATGGTATGTTGTCACACAGGGATATTTTAAGGGATTTAAAGTCATAGTTTTTCAACAAGTAAGCAATGCAGAATCCATTAGAGAAAAAAATAGAAGCCTCCCCAAATTCAGCTTGTCATTTCAAGCATCTCGGGTTTTTTTTTAAACTCAGAACTTAAAAGTTTTATCCCCCTTCCAGATATGCTATAAATCCTAATCAGAAACTTCAAAGAAAATGCGTGAGTGTGCTGGCTTCAGCCTTGACATGCAATCTGTCCATGAATTATTAAACACACGGTAGTTTCCCACTCCCTCTGGGCCTGCAGTCTGGATATTCTACTTTGGGCCACTTAAGGATAAACCCTGCTGTCGGTTCAACAAGCATTAAGGAGAAAGAGAAAAAAACATCTTATTTCCATCCAGCTCTAATGTGACTCATTTGGTACAGAAATAGATAAAAAGTGTCACATAGAATAAATGTACCTTTGTGTGGCCATTTTACAGAAGGCCCAATTTACATATTTTGTTCACCTTGATGTGTTTTAGTTCTCTTATTCTAAGAAAATTATATTAACGCTAGTATAGCGCAATTAGAAGTTGCAAGAATAATATTAACAGGAAGCATAGTAGCAGCATTTGGTGGAATTCAAATAGTTTATGTCCGAGATTTTGATCACTGGGCTGAGCATTAATGTAAAATGCGATGACTTAGGATCTTAAGGTGAAACTTGGGACAAAAGGTTATGTGTGATGCTTTGATTACAGTTTCAGCACCAGTGCTAGCAGCAACTGCACTACTCTTTCGGTGGGGACTTTTATAAATTTACATTTACATTTTAAAAGAGTAATCTCTGGAAGGCCTTCTCACAACTCAATGCTATATACAGTATATATATATATTTGAATCTACATTGTAGATGAGTTTACTTCTGAGCAGGTACTGCAGCCTGCATTTTATGTAAACAGAAAACACAAGGTCATTTCTTGTCAAAAGAGAAAATGCACCATCATTGAAGAAAGGAAGACGGTATAATATGACTGAGGTCTCAAAATGCTGATCTGTTTTGCCAAACAGACAGTGAATACAGAAGCCACGTCTTGCCCTAGCAGAGAAGCTATGGACAATATCGATATTGAATTGGCACAGGAAAATCACATGGCACGTTGCACTAAATTATGTAGGCCTGCAATCAGTTGAAGTTCTTATTAGTAACCAGTATTACATTAAATAGCAGACAGTGTTTTAACATGAAATGTCTGTTGTTTAAATGTAGCAATCGAGACATTTATGTAAGCCTAATTATATTTTTACTTGATATTCAATGAATATTTTGTAAGGATGTAAGGCCAGTCGACAGATGCTAATAACAGGGGGACAGGTGAAGGGCACAATATAAGCAATCATGAAAAACCTTTCTTATGGTTTCATTTTTGGTGAATGCAGCTCTGCTCATGCAGGGATTTATTCACTTATTAACACCGTTGACCTGAACATTGTGCATTTGAAGTACCTACAGCACTCATGGCACTCCATCACTGCTGCAGGCTTCGGAAGGCATTGTGTTGACAGTGTTGCACACAATTCAATGTGCCCTTAACACTGGCATTTTCCTTCCCTAAACACTTTAGAGTGTCAATATCTCATGGCTGGCCAGTGAATTTCACCAGTCACTCTGTAGCGAGATGTTCAACCACTCTTTAAACTGCATTCACACTGGGCTCTACTTTACAATGTGCGTGATGTTTTTGTCGACAGCCTGTTACAGGTTATCAAAACAAGGCCCCAGCCATCCAGGCACACACTGTGAATGAACATGAAAACTTTGAAAAAAAACTTCAGCTTTATTAAAGAAAGAGGAAGGAATTTGATAAACACAGTAGATCAGCGTTACGGCCTCTCCTGTAGACTTCTTCTTAGCTCTCTAGATCATTCGTTTCCAACTACCTTCCTTTTTTGACTACAAAATATAGAGAAGACTTTTCAAAAGCTTTGTTAATGCTGTCACATAGAACACAAATTAGACACGCATGCAAGAAGTAAGAAATTGAACAACAGGATATTGCTGATTATACATAGTACTCTTTTTAATATTTCACTTCTGGACTGAAATGAGTGAAGTGTCAAACCCTCATTGTTACAACACGGTAACCCAAGAGAAAATGTTCTTTTTATAATACATTTACTTCCTCTTCTTTTTTCAGCCCCCTCACCACGGGCTGATTTGTCTCATTGGAATGTCACAGCCTGCAAAAGAGCAAGATGTGGGCTAAAAAAGCAGAACTCCCCATGGTGTAGTTCCTGCCTTCAGCTTTCTTTCTTAAAGGTGCTATTTGCAGATGAAGGCCAAGGAAACAATGGCTCTTAAAAGCCGTTGCTAACATCTGAACAAACCGCTTATTTCTGGCCAGAGTGAAGAAACAGTTTATAAAGATACAAATGTATAAAGGAGTAGAAATACTCCAAGTTTTGTTCTGGGACCATACATAGGACTGGTACAGTATGACAGGGGTTAAAGCTTTGTGGTAGAACTCTTCCGCCTTGTGCAAAGGAGAAACATGTTTACCCACTGTGTAGGCGAGATCAGGATGACTGGCCTGTGGGACTGTAGCCTGTTCCTGGCACAGAATGACAGAAGCCCCATATCAGATTTACTTGGAAGCTTTTGCATGGATCTGTAAAGAGGCATCCATACTGACCCATGCGTTAGTGGGCTTGGGGGGTCATAAGTCGCAAGGTCCTAACTTTTTGCATAGACAATATAAGTCTTCCACAATACATGCAAGAAGTACTGTCTCCCACTGAAAGACAGAGATCCTTCTCTCAGAATCAAGATGCCCGTTACAGTTGATCCTCCCTCATCCAAATCGACCTCCTGGTACAATCCAGCTTTACAAATAATATACCACATTAAAGAGCACCAGGGTATCATAACAATTCCATGATCTTCTCAGCCTCTCTGAGAAACAGAAACTACAGAGCACACTTACCTTACAGGACACCTATTTCCAGCGACAAACTACAGTCCCTACTTCCTGGATCTCTTGCTTAAGCTGGATCTACTAGTAGGGATGTCATCTTCACGAACATAAAATTATGTAAAGCATTTAATAAAAATTATCGAAAGTCATTTCCATTTGAATTTCTTAATGCACATGGCTTCCACCTCGATGTGTCCCTTGCAATCTAAAGCACCACACTATTTCACTTCCTGTAGCATCTGTGCTACTCAAAATTAGCCAACTATACCACTACTGCCACAATGTTCACCCAGAAAATCAAACTTAAATAGAGATATTTCAACAGCCCTTTTAACCATTAATATGGAAGTTTATTATCTGAGGTTCAGACTGATTAAACCAAAACCAACTGAATATGTTCTTCATGGAGATGCAGATAACAGATAGTATAGTCTATACAGTATATAATTACTATATACTGTATACTCGGAGCTCCTTGGTAGCTCGCCGTGATCGTATAGTGGTCAGTACTTTACGTTGTGGCCGCAACAAGTCTAAACTGCAAGATTATCTTTTTAATATTTCAACTGTTAGCCAGATAGGACAACAGTACATGAGAGACGGATTTATTTAGGCATTAAACCACAGATCTAATCACAGCCTTGGTATTAAGGCAATACAAATTTAATAGTTAGCTACCTATTTGGCCACAATCATACAAAACCCCTCATATAAGACTTACAATAAAACAAGAAGATTACTTGAATTACTGGGTAAATGCAAAGGGATCTAAACTGCAGAACTTTTTCACAACATACACAGTATACCACACACAGCGGTTACATGAAATCATCACATCTAATCTTTTGTTCTTTCCCAATGTACATATTTTTAGATTTTATGAGGAAAAAGGCTGCTTTCACAATTCCTTCTCAAGCCCTGAGTACTCGAGGATGACAGGGCTCACTGATGTGCTGTAACAATGCGCGTGGGCCACTTACAATGTTCATGTTCACTTCGGGATCCAGTCCCCTTTGGCTCCTGCTGAAGACGTCCTCGCCTTGGACAGCCCCCAGAATGAAGAGGGCCACACTGAACAGCAACCACGCCATCTCTGGTCTGCAAAAGAGAGAGAAAGCCAGTTCATGAGCCAAGGCTTTTTTTTACTCTAGTAGTTATGATTGTTACGATTCTACACAGCAACAAAATGGCTCTTTAGAGACAATCCTCTCTCAGAACTTACCAAGTTAGGATAAATCTTGTCTGAAACCAGAATGCCACAAGGCTCCCAGCTTAAAATGTTTACTGTTGCCCAAATTCAGGGCTGGTCTGGATTAATATACTGCAATGGGAACAGGTTCTGTGTGAGATTTGGAGACACCTCCTTTAAATAAAACAGAATAATTTCTTGATTTATTGTGCTTTTCTATTATGGCAGCTAAGAAACAAAAAGGGGTGCCGTTTTCTGTCAACAATCTTATCATATAAGCAAATAAAAAAAATATATTTTTTTTCAGTTTGTCTTGGCCAACATAATCACTGTTTAGAAAATGGGTTTGTAATTGAGAAATAAATAACAGCCCATATGAGAAATCCTTATCACAAATTAAATATGTATTGTAGTAAATTTCCATTTCACCGATTTCAATCTTTAATGTCCAACAATATTCCAAGATTTTCTGTATTACCATTAGGAGAAGTTAACTTTTTATTATTTTAACATACATGGACTGCTCCCCCACAATTAACACTGTGTATTTATGAAGGCAATGCATTGTATGTTATCACTACTTTTACATTTGTAAGTTATATCAAGTTAGTAACCATCACCACGTACAGGCCTTGAAACAATAAGAAACAAGAGACAAATCAAGTATGTTTTTTTCATTTATATTATTATTATGATTGAATTATTCTTTTGATTTAATAACAACATACAGCCTAAATGCTCTTTATTAAACATGTTTATATTAGATATTAAATAGAAATATCTGAATTAATTCAATTATAGTAGCAGATTTGATCTAGAAAATGAGACCAGTCTATTTAATTGTAAAAGAGGTTATAACATTTGCAATCAGTGGAATAAACTAGTTACTCCCCAAAATATGTATTATGTAAATTAGCCAGCTAATGTTATATCAAAACATCAACGTTAATTTTCATGTTATCCATTGGAATTGGATACATACTGTACTGTACCTTATAAAAGGTCAAGGTTTAATCTTTTTTTTCAAACCCTACTCTTTATCAATACTTAACCAAATATAGCTTGAGTGATTAAATACTTTTAAAGCCTATGATCAACAAATTGAATCATCCAAAAAAAAAAGCTTAGAAATACATTTTCTTCGCCTACATACTGTGGAAACACATGACCAGTTGCAGCACAGCACGTCTTCCTTCAAAGGGTTTAGAAAAAATCCCCCTTTGTACATTTTAAAACTACTAACCTTCAGTTCTTTAGTTAATTTTGGCATTCAGATTCTCTCACTTTCTCACATCTCTCACATCAAAACACTGAAGAGAGGAATTCACAAACAGTGGGTATAGAAAGTATTGACCCCCATTTTATTTTGCAACATTTTGTTGTGTTATAACCAGAAATCTTGATAGACATATTCTTTCCCTTTTATCCTTACAACATCCAGTACAATTTTGATTTGTTTAAAAGTTTTGAGCTAAAAAAGAATTAGTTGAAAAGAAAAACCCTAAAAATCATCATTAGAAACGTCTAGATCCCTAAACGTCTAGAACAACTAGATCCCCTCAGAATTTAAACAATATGTTGATTGGAACCCACCTGTAATTAAAGTAGTTAACAATTCAGATTGAATACACGTGTCTGTGTGATTTCACCCCATTGGATGTTGTATACAAAACAAGAGAAGACAAAGGATCTTCCACAACAAATTAAGGAACAGAAATGTTCACAGACAAGTCAGGTGAGCGATATAAAGATGTCAAAGGAGTCTCCCACGGTCCACTGTTTCTTCAATTGTCTCGGAATGAAGGACACACAAACCTTATCAGAATCTTTAACGGCCAAGCCTGCAAAATTCAGCAGCTGGGCAAGGGCCTTGATCAGAGAAGCTGTCAAGAGGCTGAAAACAACCCTCAGAGACTTACTGGGTCAATCGCAAACTTTGTTCTAATTAGCAAGAACTGCAGGGGCCTCTAAATCGGAACATTTCAATTAATATGATTTGTAAAATAATACGTAATGTTAATATACAGTTATTCCTTTGTCTCGTGCTTATATATAAACTGAATGTCACCGACAACATTGTTACTTCTTTAAGAACGGCATACAGTATATGCCAAAATAGACGTACATGTACGTAATTTAATATAATTGCTCACACCTGAAGAAGGCTCCACGGCCGAAACTTTCTTCTCTTTTCACCATGGAATACACCTATTTCTTGTTCCTTTGCGGCCTACGCATGCTGACGCAGCTCCCCACCCGAACTACGTAATAAAATAGTACGTAATAAAAGTGATAGTAGCGCGTACAGTAGGTATGTTGACTTACAAAGGCATGTACTTTACCACCCGTAGGAATATAAAGTACTTGCACATACTTATTCTCCACAATTCCTGAATATCCCTACTTAAATTAACCATAAATGTTGAGTTTTATCGCAATAAAAATACAACTATTCCACTGACACCCAGATGTGACAGATAACATTTAAAAGCTTACCCCAGGATATCTGAAGATTCACTATTGCGTACTAAAGAATCAACATACAGCTCTACTAAATGATATATACATTAAAGTTCGTTATCAATAAATGTGTCGTGACTGGAAACCAACTGTAGTTAAATATTACAATTTTCCACGCGACGGATGCTAAAGTCATTATGTAGTAATGATCTTATTTGCACTTTATTCGGGAAGGTTTAGTGTAGTATTAGTACGGTCCATGTGCTGTGGTGGTTTTAACTAATCCCCTACTTCAGTTACCTCTAGAGGGCAGCAGATGTTACTATGGACTTGTTGTAATTGAGAACAGTTTTAGTACGGAGCTGGGGACTGAGACCGAGTTCGTTGCAATTGGTCTTAAGCTTGCAGACCACGGGCTGAACACTAGTACGCCCCTTTCAGTTCACTGCAATTCACCCACAATGTCCCATAATGGAGATGGGGGAAACGGTGAATGAGTCAACAATATATAGATCAGGTACTCCATAAATCTGAGCTGCATGGTAGAGTGTGAGGAGGAAGCCATGTTTGAAAAAGGCTCGCATGAAGTCCCATCTTGAATACGCAAAAAGGTGTGTGTAGCAGCCTCTGAAACGATGGGGGGGACCTTGTGGTCTAATCTGACAAAAAATTGAATTATTTGGCCTTAATGCCAAGCATTATGTCTGTTGAAAGAAGAACACTGCTCATCATTCACAAAACATCACTCCCACATTGAAACATGGTGGTGGCAGCACGAATGTTGTGGGGCTGCTTTTTATTGGCAGGGACTGTAGACTTGGCAAAATCCAGGGCAGAATGGATGGAGCAGAATACAGGCAAGTGCAGTCTACAAAAGATATCAAACTGGGACAGATATCCATATTTCAGCAGGACAATGACCCCAAATGCAAAGCAACTCAGTGACCCAGTCCAAGTCCAGACTTGATTCCCCTAGAACACCCGTGGCAGGCACTGAGGAATGCTGTACACCCCTGCTCCCTCTGTAACCCACACCAGCTGGAGCAATTTTGCATGGAAGAGTGGGTGAAAATTAAACCCGCAAGATGTGAAGAGCTGGTTAAAACATACTGTTTAAAGACCCGAGGCTGCAATTGCTGCAAAGGGGGAAGCAACTAAGTATTAAATGTCTAAAGTCTCAGGGGGCTGACTACTTGTCCAAGCTGGATTTTTCAATTCTCTATTTTTTAGATTTGTTTTAAAATAAAACAATCATGCTCTGTTAAAATGTTAAGTATGTTTTTGTTAATTATAGAAAAAATACTATTCAGATTTGTTGCAATATGAGGTATAGAACCAAGGGGTTTTGATATAATGTACTGTATATATACCCAAAATGGGTGTAGAAATGATGACTTCTGCAATATTATTGTAAATTGTTATGATGCCATTTCTCACTTCCACCGCCTGACCTGCCATGTATTGGGGCTGCTGGTGCTTAATGGCTGCTGTCCGTCACCCAGCAGTGTGCCGGGCTTCAGTAGTGGATACATCCTGACCACTCCCAGACAAAGGGTTTTCAGGTGCCTTGGGATGAACAGCACTCTACATCTGCAAGAAATTACTTAATATTCTTCAACAGCTGTCTGTTTCTAAACTACTGCAATTTGATTATATACTGTGCTATATCAGGAATTATCAGTGCAGTGTGCAGGATTGTAATAAAATGATATGGTTATGAGTTTCACTGTTATATAATTTGTACTGTAACGTATACCTTAGTTCAAGTGCCAGTGTAAATAACATCATACAGATAGAACACACCTGATGTACAGATACATCAGGTGTGTTCTAGAAAAAAATATTTAAAACATGCAAATACAAAACTAATTTCACATAAGACTAAGTTAACGGGGGGTTCAGGTCCATAAGGGTTAAAATCCCACAAAAAATCAATTACACATTGATTAATGTGAGATGTTTATATAGTTGTACTAAAAGTCTTTTTCACACTAAACGTTTGTTAATGTTGATCAATTTAATGTAAAATGTGGAGGGAAGACTTGTTAGTGGCGGGTGGCGATCAGGGTGGAAAATACAGGAGTCCTGCACAAGAACACATCAGGACACAAGCATCTTCATATTTTCATTCTACTAATTTAGGGTTTCAGACAGTTATTAACTGTAGACTGTTTTAAATTATTTATAAAGTTCTTTGATTGTTTTTCAGGAATGACTTAGTTTAACTGACAAATTCTTCGAATCAAATTTTGATTCTACAATGATTTTATACGGTAGCTTACTTGACCGGTTTTATTGACTTTACAGTATAAAACAAGGTACAGACCTCGACAAAGCCATTTTATAATTTAATTTCGTAAGTGTGCGAAGAGATGAAGGTTGCCGGAAACATACTTAGAGATCACCCACCTACAGTACCTGTGCGTCATTTAAGGGGAACTATTCATGCCAGTACATAAGATTCAGCTTATCCGTCCGTCAGTCCGTCAAGTTGTCTGTTACTGGCCATTGTCGAAATAAGTTAAAGTGAGAAGTAATTCGTCTTAAATTAAGAAATGGTACAAAAATACTCAAATTGCGATTAAAGTGAAAACCGTTTTTACTGTTAAGTTTCTTCTGTTGGGTTGGTGGTTTTGTCATTAGCTGATGTGGTTTATAAAAACAATGACAAAGCCTGCACTATCTTAAAACTGAGCTTTGACAAGTTTGTTTATAACCAACAATACATAGTAAAGTTACTTTCTGTACTCACCAAAATTATGCAGCAAGTTTCGGTTATGCAAGCTGGAATGGATTCATTTAAATTAAAAGAGTAAAACAGGAAGCATTTAAACAAACTATTAAAAACCTTGTATATACAATAAAAAGGAAAAAGTGTAGTAGACGACGAAAATACGGGCCAACCTACTTTACTTAGTAGACGTTATTTAACACAACTCACTACAGCCTTACGTTCTGAAGCAGATGGGCATCAACTGACTGATGCGTAACATCATGTGAGCGAAGTCCTCGCCCACCAATCCTACATGCGCCTACTTATTTTAAAGAGGTAGGGTTGGGGTTTTGTTTAGCTGTTCAGTTTGCACACTGGCTCCACATTAAAAACAATTTCACCAACTCCACTGGTGTCACTGCCTCTTTGCTCGGATGTTTAAACGAGGCACGTGATACTAACAACTACACAATCTTTATCTTGTGGTTTAAGTCCTGGCTTAGCTTATTAAGAAATTCACGTACAGTAGGTACAGTAGCTGCATCAGCATGCGTAGACTGCAAAGGAACAGGTAAAGGTGTATTCCATGTTGAAAAGAAAAGAAACAGTGTCTCGGCTGTGGTACCTTGTTCTACACCTGACGAAGGCTCCACTGCATTGTCACATTGTTTTCTTTTCAGCATGAAATAAACCTTTACCTGCACCTTAGCTGATAAAGTATAACGTGCAGGCGTTTACAGTACTTACTTACATAAGGCGTGATTAAGTTTTGATTCTCATGTACAAGCCCACACATCATTCATTTATTCAAAGAAAAAATATTCTGTATACTATATACCCAATAGGTATATAAAAATATATAACCAGATTGGGGACGCAGTAAATTAAACATAAACAAAATGGACGCAGTGTTTTTCTTAAATCTAGCAAGTACTGAAACACTCTGCAGTGTTAATTTTTTTGCAACACTTGTTTTATATGTTTTGTTTACATTCACGCATTTCTTTAATTCCCTGGAAAATAATTTAAGATCGAAATCGTGAACTGTGTTCGGGAGTGGTGAGGTCGTTGCTGCGATTCCTCCAGCGGACATGTAAATCCCGGGAACGTTCTGGTGGGCCAGCATCTGACTCGGTAGTAAGGTGGGAGTGTAGCTGTGACGTTGTACCCGGTGTTATGCCAAGCAGGCCTGGGAACTGAAAATAAGTTACAATATATCATTGAAATTACTTATATATTTATTTTTTCTAATATACAATGTCGCGAGTGTTAATAGTCGGAGCAGGGCTGACGGGCAGTTTGTGTGCTTGCCTGTTGCGAAGAGAAATGGCCAGTAGAGTACACATTGTTGTCTGGGACAAAGCGAGAGGTGCAGGTTAGTTCTCTCATGTCCGACTGAATCGATGTGTTCGTGTTCAAGAGGAATACGAGGGTTGACCCGTTTTTACAATTTTGTAGTACACATTGTTACAGTCAATCCACACTGTCCACGTTTTCAGTTTTAGCATTTTTTTTTAAACAAAGAACTTTTGTCGATTACGTGCAATGGCTTTTAAACATCTGTGGTTAATATAGTTTTAGGCGAGTCTACTGCCGTTCCTTTCTATATATACCACTCTGTTCACTGTATAGTGTGCCCGTAACAAAAATGATCGGAATTTACTTTAACACGGAAAATTAATGAATGCGGATATCTGATAACAACGGGTCTACATTACAATTATGAACAGGACCCTTCCTAAGATTGCACTTTGCAATTGTATTTTTAATACTGGTTTAGACTAGTGTGGTGCTTAAAAAGACGTCTTCACGCGTGAAAGGATAATTTGTGACAACGGGAACGAGTATTCACACACCTCGCTTTGAGAAATACATGCTTTTAGCTAAAACTGAACTTTTTCGATTTGAAAGGAACTGACCTCTCATGACCTTTTATATATAAAGTTAACACTTTTAACATCCAATACATGTCATGACGGTGGAGGATGCATGGACAAGTAATAAAAAAAATGCACTAATGAGATTTAAAACTTTATATTTTCAATGGGAATTATGCAATCCTGTGTAATTATGATGAAATCATAATCCAATAGGAGAAATCGTACTTACGTCAAATTAGAACTGACACGAGCTGCAGTTGCGAAGCGCCTTGTGTTTATGAAAAGCGCGTCATTAAAATAATTTAAGAATATTTTTGAATGAATAGAAAAGATAATTTGCAGAACACCGGTAAGAGCTTTTGGTGGTAATCTTCTGAAAGCATGCCTCTTGTTCTAGCCTGTCCAGCGGGCTGTGTCGAATAGGAATACACAGGCAGGCCTGTGTGTTTATTTGCAGCCTTCTTGATGGTTCCGGGACGGCAAGGTGGCACAGTGGAAAGTAGCTTCACAGCCTCGTAGTCTGGGTCTCAATCCTGTCACCGTCTGCTTGGAATTTAGGTCTTTTGTCTGTACTTGACGTGGGTGTTCTCCTGGATCTCTGCTTTCCTCTCAGTACAAAGACGTGTTGTCCAGATTATTGGTACTGTATATGTAATTAACCCCACGAGTGCAAGGAGCTGCACTTTGTGGTCTTTGCCTGCCGGTTTAAGCTTTTCATCACCGAGACCACTCCTCTCGCATCGCTCTGCAGTGTGGATGCATTTTAGCCCAAAGCTGAAGTTCAGGACTTCAGCTGGTTCACTTTGTCCCAATGTGTTGAAATGGCAAGAATGTTTACATTAATGTTGTGCTGATCATTATTCTTAAAGTGAAGTTGATGCAATTAGAGGTAGATGAATTTTAACTTAAAAATCTGAAGCAGGACATTTTTGTAGGTAAACGTTTAGTGATAGTGAAAGTTTTTCGGTATTTTATTATTTTTGTTGTGTGATTTTAGTTATAGTGTATATTTGCAACCCCTTCAACCTAAAAAAAAACATGAGAAGTACATTTTTGCACTAGGCTGGTGTTTAATTATTTGCTTGCAGAAAATATTTATTTATTTAGCTGCATTGTTCTGCTTTGATGTAAGAAGGTTGCTACCCTTGGGAACAGGCTTAAACCTTCAGAACATATTTCAGAATAGCTCTCTTTACTCAGCCTTAAGTGCTAGAAAGTTAGTCTCTCAGTGTATGTCTGGATTTTTGATAAGTATTGAAGCATTAAGTTACATTCTTCTCTTGTTTGTTTGAAGTGTTTTTATCTTTTTAACTATTTCCTAAAACCAAACAGTTGATCTTTGAGAATGAAATGATGTGTTTTTGTAAAGCACAATAATAAATCCTTGTTGCACAATACAATGTGCAAAACAATCTTACAAAACTAAACATTTTTTCTTTACAAATAGTTGTGGTGTTTATTGTTTAATTATAATTCAGAAGCCTTTTTCACATAGTGTATTTTTTTACAAACTTGAAGCATTATGTGTTATAGGTGAACTATAACTGGTTGAGATTTAAACATAACAGTGCCAAAATTACTTGTGACAGAAGTAATTCAAATTTACATTTTGCTTCAAGTTGAATTGATATTAAAGCTGAAGAAGTTCTGGAGGGGTAGGGCTATGGTCCCATAATAAGAGGTTATTTTGTTTTTCAGTACAAGCACTTCTATTGAATCCTTGAGCAAACACTGGTTTCTTCACTGATGACAGTTCTATATAGTTAGGTACAGTACTGGCATTTCCATGGAGTGGTTATCCTGTGAGGAACTAGCATCCCTTCAACAGGAAGAGAATCTTACACGCACTGCTCAGTGGTGCAGGAGCTGGGATGAGCCTCACTCCAATGAACCATTCCATCTTGAAAAATGCGTTTTGCCTTTTCTCACTGCTGCTTAGCTTGTGATGGAATGTGTCTTCTCTTGTAAGGATCAATTTATCGCTGTAAGGATTTGTTTTAAAGGGTGCTGTTCCCACATCGCATTCATGGTCAAAACTGTTGCTTACCTGTTAGGGCAGATGAGAAGAGACTTTGTCACTATGTTTCAGGTGGAAGAATGTCAACGAGTAGAATCACTAATGATGGCACATGCACAGCTGACCTGGGAGCACAGTATATAACTGCAACAACATACTACGCTCAGAAGCATCAAAGGTAATTATTTAACATGAAGGTTTTATGAAACAGTCCAAAAGGCTGCTTTTATTTGTGACTTTTAATCTTTTTATTGCATTTAATTTATATGTTATGCTGTCACTTGGTTCAGTCCATCATCTGGCTTATAGCTGTAGAAAATAAATTGTTTTGAATTCCATTTAGCTAACAGTCTGGTGGCTAAAGAGATTCAATTGTTATTCTGGAACTCATAGACTCACTTGGAGCAAATAACAACAGAAAATGAGTTACAGCTATTAAAGTAAACTTTTAAAAATCAAGTCAAAAATTATTTTAAATCATCTATCTGGTTAAAATCAGGATGTGGCTCCAATGGCATCATCCTGGCATTGTCTTTAATTCAAATCAGTCACATTTTGCCCTCACTCTTCAAATGCTTCATAACCTTCAGCTGTGATATAAATCCTGCAAAAGCTATATAAACGTTTATTAGTCTGATCAAATCTGAAGACTGATAAACAAGTACTGCAGTTATCAGACATCAGGGGTTTGTATACTTTAGAGCCATCTGAAGCAAATTACATTGAAGCATGTTTTTTTTTTAAAAACCTCTTTATATAAATACGGTTTAGCTCTATATTTATTTATAATTTGTTTTGCCCATGAAGAACCTCTTAGCTATTTTGTTAAACGCTCTTTAATTAATTTCACTCTCTTGTCTATCCAGTCTGTGAAGAATTCAAGTCATATGGATTGTGTTTGAGCAAAAGAGTCTTTCATAAAAGCTCCACGAGCTTCTTTAAACAAAAGCTTACTATTTCACTAATGGAATAAAGTTGAAAATTTAAAGGTCATAATGACAGTCTGTCTTTCTTTTGATTATGTTTTTTTAACTAGATTAGCATGTTGTCTATTAAGGAGCAATCCCCACGGTGGAGTTTTTCTTATTTCAGGTTTAGAAAATGTGCTACAGTGAACACTGCCAAGTACTGCATGATTTCTATTCTGAAAGACTCTGTTCTGTGCAATTCATTTCCACAAAAACAGAAATAACTTAGCAAGAATACCTGCTCACAGTGAATTACCAAAGATAGTTTATGCTGATATCTATGGTAATAAAGGATCCAATGAATTACTCATTTTACAAGTACTGATATTGCATATGATCTCATTCTTCGAAAAGACTTAAAAAAATCTTCCCTTTTTAATAAAGTGGTCCAAGGTGCACTTTAATGCTTTGTATTTTTCCCGAACACAGGGAATTCAGAAGTTTTACTGTTTTTATAACACTGTCCTTAGGAAATGAATATATGTCACTTTATATCAAACCACACAAGGTATTCTAATTTAAAATGTGTTCAATGTGCCCTCCATGTCACAAGTGTGTTACTGGAAAGTCATGGGCACAGTCAACTGGAAAATCAGCTTTGGAAGTTCTTTCTCTGAACTTGGAGCTTGGTCCAAGTCTGAGTTCATAATCACCTCTGCCAGCCCATACAGAGCTAAACACACCCTGAAATGTAGTTAATTTTAACAAGCCTTCAAGCTTCAGGTTTGCAATAGGTTATATTATTCTGTATTTTGGAATTTGCAGATTTGCATTCCATGAGGTAATAGTTTTTCCATACATTTTTTAGTTGAATTTCATAAATTCAGATCTGTTCTTTCTGGATTACTGTTTTTTTGTTTTGCACAGGTAAATTTGTGGCGATTCGAATTAACAGGATTAAGAACATAGAAGATATGAAAGGTTTTTCCATCTAGCCCACTTGGTTGCTAGTAGATAAATGATTTGAGGATCTCAGCTGATTTTTGTTTAGGAGCCCTACAACCAATTGTGTAAAAACAATCCCCCTAGTCTTAGTCTTAAGGGGACTACCCTTTTGTTTCCACTTTCATCTTCTGGTTCTTGTTTTTCACTATTGATTTTAAAGAGGTCCACCAGGTTGACTTTGTCAGGACTTTGAGAGTTTTGAACACTTCAATCAACCCTCATCATCATCCTTATTCAAGAGTGAAAAGATTAAGATCTTTTACCCTGTCAGAGCAAAGATTCCTTTAAGCCCTGGAAAGTCTTGTTGCTCTTTTTCAGATTGTGACCACAGAAGCAATTTCTTTATATTTACTTTATTTTAAAAGTGCCAAATGCAATTTATAAATGTTTAGGGGTAATCAACTCTTTCATTCTCTCTTTCATTTTCATGCAGGCCTGTTGCAGCTAATTCTTAATTATCAAAGTGATCTTTTTCACCTATGCTAATTAAGTAATTAAGGATTGATTCAGTAATTATTTTATCTGAAGGTTCAAAGTGATGTAATAGTCTGGAATGGAAGTATCAAGGCCGACTTCACCTTCCCAAAGCTTAGGAGTAGGAGCATCAAATGTTCTATAACTGTTATTTACAGTTACACCATCAATAAAATTAAAAGGTTGTTTATACATAACTAATGCATGGTTGAAATCATTGTCACCTTTTTTATAAAATGTGAATGACTCTTTGTTACCAATATTCTAAATGAGAAACTATAGGAGGTACTTTTTACTTTGTTTAAAAGATACTAATGGAAATACAGTAAGTTACTAGAATTACAGTTCTTATAAAAGTAGTTTTAGGCATGATGATTTTTTATTCTTCTGCTTTCTATTTCTGATTAAAGATTTATGAAATGTCAAACAGCAGACTATAATTTATGTACTTTTATGATTATTAGTGATTATCCGCTCATGAGCAGAATCCAAACCAGCTCACGACGCAGCTGTGTAAACCCGTCTCTTTGTTCACAACTCCAAGAGTGTTTTTTTTCTTTTGCAGACACTTTATGCTTTCTGCAATTCAAAGAGAAAAGAGCACTTTGAAAAATACATTACGCTCTGTAAAACTAGAAAAACAGTGATCCAAGGCACACCAAGACTTCAGTAACAGCTCAGCTTTCTTTTAGGAGAGCTGAGTGCTTTTCAAAGTGGCAAGCTTTGCAAGTGCTTTATTCTAAAGGTTAAGAAACTATCGACAAGTTTTTTTATATAAAAATTCCCTTTGATTTCCAGCTTCTATGAAGAGCTGCTGGCATGCTGCATTTTAAAGCCTCTCACTGCCCCAGTGGAAGGGATGTCAATTAAGGAGGAAGGAATACGCAATTTCGTGACCCCACAGGGAGTCTCATCTATTGTCAAGCATTACCTCAGAGAGTCAGGTAGCCTGAATGCTGCTCTATTTGATGTGCTTTGAAATAAGCCGAAGTTCTTCCCGTTTCGTTTTCTCAGCTAATAGGTGTTTGTTGCATTGCAAAGGGACCAGATTGAGATTAATTCATGCATGGTTCCTCTTTCATGTCACTAATAAACACACTTTCCCACTCACATATACTGCATTGTTAAATGGCAGGATGTGTGTGGTGGTCCACTTCGTTGCACAGGCATTTAAAGTGTCATCCAATTTATTGCATTTACCATGCTTTTTAAAGGGAGTGGGAGGTGTAATGGAAAACATGGTGTACCAGGCCTTATCAAACTTAAGATTGACCGGTGACCTGTTGTGTTCAATTGTAATATCACTTTAATATGTACTATTTGTTCTGTTGGCTACCCAAAACAGTAAAGAGGCACTATACTGAACTTCATTCTGTTCTTGAACCTATTGGAAAGTGTGATTAACTTCAGATTTTGTTTCAGTGCAGCATTGATACTGAATATACTGAAGAAGCAGCAACAGTTGTCATCTTATTTCCTGAAAGTTAAATAACATGTGGCTGCAAAACTGTTAAGTGCAGCTCTTCTAAAATATATAATTGTATGTTTCCTCATCCAAGATTCCTGTCTTTGGTATTTTACTTCTGATTTCCTCGAGAGAGAGTAATTTGACTGAAGGAGGTTTATGTAATGCCAAGAGTTTTTGTAGAGATCACAAAGATGTTATGAAAACCCCAATTTGGAAAGCATAATTAAAACTCAAGATATACTGAGCTAGGCTGTATCATTTAAATAAAAATGAAAGCCTGTGGCGTGTCTTATAGAATGAAGCAGAATGAGAAAAGAGACTAATTTCTTTACAGCCCCCTCTAGATTTAATCTAACCCCTGATGAAATGGGAGCAAATAATAGAATTTAACAGAAAGATTTACAGGTTGGTTAATGTGCTTTGCTTAAAAAATATGCTCCTAATAGCATGGCACAAGACAAACTCATAATTGTCAGAAGTAAAGTCCAGAATTTACAAGGGTCACATATATTCATACCCCTAAGTATTTCTTTAAATAAAATCCAAGAACATATTTTCCTTGCCATTCCTCTCTATAGAAGTTCCATGAAAGCCTTTGGGCCTAAGTAATGCTAATTTATGTTTTTGTAAAGATTGACTTGTTTCCGTTTGCAGCTCACATTAAATGGCAATGTAGTGTATAAAAAGTAAACTTTAATACGTGTTCGCAGTTTCTTAAGTCTATTCAGCCGTTATGTCATGTTTTTATGTTAGCAGGTAAATCCAGCTTCCTAAAAATACAGTTTTCCCTTGTTGCATTACTGAAGAAAAGGACAATAGAATCTCAATAGAATCCTGTTGATGTCTACATGACCCTCCCTTGCCTTCTCTCTTTGTCTTTCTTCCAATGCCAACCGTGCTGTTCTGAACCTAAGCAGGAGCTGAGGTGTTTTTCAACCACCATGTTACTCAGATCCTTCTGAAAGGAGGAAAGTGGGAGGTGTGTAGGAAAGCCGGGGGGGCGGAGCAGTTCGACGCCGTAGTCCTGACCATGCCTGTGCCCCAGATCCTTCAGCTGCAGGGCGACATCGACTCATGTGAGTACCTCTCCGGTACATGATCTGGAGCAAGAGCACGGCCCTTACTGAACTGGTGCTTTTTCATCGCTCTCTTTTCCAGTTTGTAGCATTTCACTAAAGTAATAATAATTATAATTATAATTATAAATTGCTTACACTTCTATAGCGCTTTTCTGGACACTCCACTCAAAGCGCTTTACAAGTAATGGGGACTCCCCTCCACCACCACCAATGTGCAGCATCCACCTGCTGTCTGTAAACTGAAAATGGACTTCCATAGTCAAAAACTGTTAGCCCATGCTGTTGTAGATAAGGTCACCTACAGTAGATTTCAGGAATTAGATATGATTTTTGCAAAAAAAAAGTTATTTTAGGTTATAATTTACATAGTTAATATAACTTCCCAGGGGTCTTTATTAAAGAATACATTTTTCCTCGTAGTTGAATCTCCCCACTTATCAGGCCGTCAGGAGCATTTAGCCATTTTACTTTACATTACTCTTGCATATTTTTCAGAAAAAGATTGATTAGATGCAGGTAGATCCTTTCTTATGTGGATTTCATTTCACTGTGTGTCCATGCAGCACGGTATGGTACATTGCTGAGTTTTTATGCTATAGCCAAAGAGAATGCTATGATGTCCGGAGAGGGAATGAGCTAGACGTTCAATTGGTCCCCGGCTGTCTAGTTAATTCCAGCATCCTGTTCTGAGCACCCTATTGGTATTCTCTCAGTGAAATATGAGACTTCACTTTTTTATGGTAAAATGCTAGTACTAAAGAACAAGTCTAGAAATCTCAGTGTAATGACCAAAACCCCAGAATTTTTGAATTGGTGTAGAAATGTGCGTATTGAAAATTCTGTCTCAGTAATACTTCACTTTTTAAATCTGGTACTGATGGACAGGGAATTAAGCTTTTTGTGGACTTTTTGTTCTGTGAATGATGCTCAGAACTTAGAACAGGACTGCTTGGAAATATGCCATTGTATTGTGGGCTTCAACATTTACAGTGTAAGAATATTTAAGCAGCAGCCCAGGATGTGTTTCTCAATTTGCAACAGCACACATTTGCTGTGTGTCAGAAATCCTTAATAATGTAGCTCCCTACACCTAGGGCTCCTAGAGGCACAGGTTTAGGAATAAATCAGAGATTAACTGATTTGCCACTGTTGTACATGATGGACTGCATTTTAAAAGTAACACAAAAAGTGTTTTTTAAGACATTTGACCATCAGTAAGACATACACAGTATATATGTTGTAATATAAAACGTTTTTAATTTAAAAAAAATCCTAAGAACATCTTAATACCAAAAATGCTACCTTTGGCAATGCTTTGCACTATGAAGGCAGATTTTTTTGTTTTTTAATTTGTCTTTTATGTTGCCACCCTCATGTCCTTTGTCAATTTTCAACCTGCATGGTCATTTTGCAATTGATCTATTTTTTAACCTTACTGATTTTATTATGGTTAAATTAAGCTGTGCCAATACTTACCAGTTCCATGCTAAACATATTTTTTATTTCACAGTATAACGTATTTGCTGATGTAGTGTTCAAGGTGTGTTGCCTTTGCTGTGCACTGTGTAAACCTGCTGGAGACTGCCAGTTGGACTGGTTTTCAGTTTTTTATTACACAATGTCAGGTGTCAGCCAGAGGGCAAACCAACGCCTTGCAGGTGACCAGAAAGTCACTTTCATGGTGAGTCAGGGACCTTCTGATCTGCTGCACCACAGCCTGGCCACTGGAAACTCCTGACCAAAGTGGATGTATGCCACAGACTTGGACTCTGCCCAGTGACCTCCAGTAATCCAGCACTCATGCTTTTTTCCAAAAAAGTTAGAATTACATAATAGGCAAGGTTTGTTTTCCAATAGATTTTCTTAAACCTTTGTGGCAGGGGTCTCAGATCTACAGTTTCTGAAAGGCCTAGTGTCTTAGTGTCTTCTAGTTTAACTTAAATTGTAGACCTGATTATTGACCTAAATATGCCTCTACTTCTAACCAAACTCTGGGGTGTTTATTGATAACTCTATCTGTCATTAGATTAATGTTTTGAGAAATTATCATAAATCCCATATTTGTCCCATAAATAAGAAACTTTCCATGTTTATTGATTGACTACTCAGGATCCAACAAAAGAGAGAAGAAATTTGCCCCTCAGGGAACTGAGATTGAGACCCCCCCGCCTTAGAGCTTTCTTTATTGTTTCTGTGTTGGATTATGGGTCACAGTCTGAAGCCTATACTTCATTAATTTGGCTACACCGTGAGACGTGTTAATCACATGATGCGCCTGAAGAATGAAGGATATGCTTACTCGTTTTTAATTGAAACTCAGCAAGCTCAGCAATGTCCTGTAGCTACACATACAGCACTTTACCAACAATAAAGCATATAGTGTTAATGTTTGTCTGAAGATTAGGGTCATGTTATCTGTAGAAACAGGTGAAATATAAATGTTCAGTGTTTCAAAGTCGCCCTTTAAAGTATTGGGGAGGGCTGTACAAGCAAAGGTTTTAGTTTAGGCATGGCTCCATATTTGTGTGGGCTCAAACTAGGGCTCTAGTGTATACCTGAGGCCAACTATACTATGATCTTCTACTGAATATACACTAAATTGTATTCATCTCAAGAATACAGAACAGACAGCTGAGATGGTGACAAAATAGGACACATGGTTGGATTATTTTAGGATAAATTCTGAATTTTAACCAGCGTGATGTAGACTTAATCTTTTAAAAACGTGAAACATGGCTTTGTTTCATATAGCTCCAGTTTCCTAATTTTGTTGTTTTCACAAGACACTTGGAGTGGCCAAAGGAAATAAATGGAGGAGTGCTTAATGCTTTAATTTCCTTTAATTTTAGAAAAATCAGTTTAGAAATATTCAGTTGTTCTGATGAATGTGAGTTTTCTAGTGTTCATTTAAAAAGTGTTGTCTAAAAGCAATGTGGCTTAGAAAGAGTTATGGAGCCTGTGGCTCTGGAAGTGTCAGAGATCAAAGGAAGTGTTCTTGGGCCAAGAAGGAAGTGCTGACATAGGTGTGCAGTACAGTTGTACCAGCAGTAGGTGGCAGCAGTCAGGCATTACATGGTGTAAAGTGTACATTCAAGAGGCTGCAATCTGGAAATAATTTCAGAATCAAGCTGCACAAAAATTGCATGCTTCACACTTCCTCTTTTATCAGAGTTCTTCAAAATTCAGGAAAGGACACAATGAACCTTGTCTGTACATTTTTTTTCCACACTGATTTATAAGATAAGCTGTATATAATATTCATGACATGCCAAGACAAGACTTGTGCACAGATGGGTGATTACACAATGAAAGTGTGATCTTTTATTTTTTTTTCTTAGGTTGTATTATTTTAATATATTTTATGTTTTTTTTCAGCCAAATTAGGAGTTCAGCTGTTAAAATAAGGGTACATTAGTCATTTCCAGCAGTTCTTAAAAATAACATTACACTGGTGATCAACTGTATCTACACAAAACGTAAAGAATATAGGAAATAGTGTAAGTATGCATATCATGTTTCTAAAGAAGTTGAGTCGTTAAGTCATTTTTTTAATAAAAAAAAGTTTTGTACCTTATGTTATGGCAGTTATGGCTGGACTCCTGCAATCTGTTTATATATTCTGTTGAAGGATTAACTCTTTTCTAAAAACACAGGAGGGTGTAATTCTAATGGCAGACTTTTCTATTGGTTTTAAATAACATTCAACAGGTTCTAGTTTTGTTATTAAATAGTCATCACATGCAAATGCTTATTGAAAATTAAATTCTATTCTTTGAAACAAAAGATTTCCTGGCTAATATCTGTATTTGCTCTTGAAAATAAGATTTTCTGCAACTTCATGCAATTTCTGTTATAATTTTCTACACTATGATCGTTTTTTTTTTGTTCTTTGTTCTTGCCTTGATTGTGCTTAAAAAACACTTCAGCATTGCTTTGGAGTTTGCATTTGCAGTGTTCTTTTCCAGAATAGAATTATTGGGTTTGTGGTGCTTTAATATTGTTGGGCCTCTGTAATAAGGAAAAGGTTTTCCAGCTTGATTGTTGGCTAATGTTTCAAGACTAGAGATGACTTAGCTTCTTGCTCCACCATGTTCCAACCTAATGTCATGTCTTTTTAATACTTTATGCACAGTATTGTTGAGTGTGGAGACTAATCAACTTTTCTGGATCCGGAAATCCTTAATTTCTTTGACAGTGGGATTGGTGATGACAGGCCTCGGGGAATTGGACCTCTTTAGTATGGACCTTTGAAATGCAGACTTACTGTTGGAAAAGAAAATGTGGATTTCAAGAGAGAGGTCTTTTACAATTACTGGTTGTTTGTTTCAAAATAAAATTACCCTCCTTTTTATCCAGTGACATTTTGTTTTAAGCCATATCGATAATGTGTCAGTGTGGGTGTAGCTAAATTCAGCTGACAGCATTCCTGCAACTTCCTGGATCTGTCAGCTACTGAGGATTCTGTGTCCTTTCACAGTTATGCATTTGTGTATTACTTTGTAGGGAAAAGCTCAGATGATGCCAGGAAAAATGCAATAATATCAGTATTGCTTCAGAATAGATATGAATGATGTTCTTTTTGTTTTACTTTATGGAAAGTGATGTGCATTTCTATACAGTAACTACTTATTAATTGTAATGCATTTAATTAGGTAAAAAACATAGTTTTATATTTGTTGTTATATCAGATAGTGTACAAATTGTTTTAACCTTTCTTATATCTCTTTGTTTGCCTAATCATGCCAAATGGAATGAATGTGGATTTTATCAGCCCTCTGAAGATTTTTTATAATATGTTTTTGGCCAAACTTTCAGAACTTCCTTGAAAGAATCTCCATGGGGATTAGAATGTTTTTCCAAGCATCTTAAATTTCCCATTCTTTGTAATACAGTGATTCTTAGAAGAGTAGGCTATGTCTGTTCTCATAACTTCCAGAGGAGGATAAGATATACTTATATACAGCAGTGTTAGAGTTTGCTTAAAGATAGTCCTGGTT